TGAAGCCCATTTCTGGTGTCCCCCGCCGTGATGTTGCTGGAATATTGCTAAAAGCGACGTAAAACCAAACTCAGTCAGTCAGTCAGTCTTACGACAAGCATGGGTTGCTGGAGACCAATTCGAACCAGAATTCAATCAATCTAACTGGTCTATGACAATGAAAGGTAACAAACTTTGGAAAGAACAGATAAAAACCATGATGGGATAAAGACGTTGAACCAGGGCAAATCTGCAACAATGAGCTGGTTGATTAACTGTGGCAGATCCCAGATCGCTTCATAATGTAGGCCTACGAGGGCTTTTACAAAGCGGGGGTTTGTTTATAGACGACATTTGCTTACATAGTGAGCGTATCTCTAGGGCAATCCAAACATATGATAGTTATTCACTCTAACCTTCCGCGAAAATCCGCCTTCTTGAAATGTAGGTCGATTGCACGCAATGTGAAACTGGTTCTAAAAGTCCTGATATTTTACAAGGGAAGGGTACGACTCATTTGAGGTTTTGATTGTCATTTTAACCATGGAAAAAACATGAAAACATGTATCATTCTTTTATCAGTGTTTTCATTTCCGGGTGATTAGTGTTTCATAGTCCGATCAGTAGACATGCGCGAAGGTTGCTCTCACCGGAAGTGCTGGCTACTTGATTGAGGTCAAGTCTTACGTCATAAACGGAGCAGTATTATGTCAACAGAGATTGTCTGCTAAAAGCGTGTAATTTTTAATAACATATTAACGAATGACGTCAATAGGCCAGATAAACAAAATGGCGTCAAACTAAGCGTATGTCTCATTGCCTTGGGTGTATACAAAGACGATGTTGTTTAAATCATTTGCTAGATTAAGATAAAGAATGGCCGCCAGTAAAGCTGTGAGTCACTCACGAATCTGAGTGTCTGATGAAAGTGTGTAAAGTTTATGAAAGTTATTAGCTGTAGAATCTGACTGCGCAGATTGTTGACGGATCCTATACGATGGAGACAGTCTTTGTGATTCACTGGCCGGGGAGATGAAGATCACTTGTTCGATGATGACCCTTGTCGGACAAAAATGGCGTTAAAATGGAACTTGTTGTTACCCTGCCCCGTGTAAAAGCTTGAGCGCGACGTCACATCCCATTTTTCCTTCACCTTTCGTCATCCTATATCAGTAACCCGTGAAGATTCGGGTTAGAATTGGTCTTCATTAATGCTTGGCGTAAGAGGCGACTAACGGGATCGGGTGGTCGGGTCCGCTGACCTGGTTGACACATGTCATCGTATCCCAATTGCGTAGATCGCTGCTCATGATGTCAATCATTGGATTGTCGGGTCCAAACTCGACTACTTACTAACCGTCATCATTAAGCTGGAGTACTGCGGTTAGAACAAAAAATAAACAAACGGCAGAGGCGAATACTCAATGCCTTCTATACGAGGTTAGGTTATAAATACAGTAACCTGACATATCAAGGTTGTTTTATGCTTTCGTGTGACATTGCTATTATCCCCCGCCGCGCGTTTCGCGCCGTACGTACGTACGAATTGGAATATCTTAAGAATTGTTAACTAGATTCTTTTCATATTTGGTACCTAGGTTCATCACAGTATAAGAAAGGTCCCAGTCAGGTTTGGTGACCTTGACCTTAATTTCAAGGTCACAAGGGGACTTTTTAACGTTATCTCTTGTCAGTGAGATATCTCAAGAACCGTTCACTAGATTGTCTTCATATTCGACACTAAGCTTTATCTAGAGAAGGCGCAGGGCACAGTCGATTTTGGTGACCTTCACTTAATTTTCAAGGTCATGGCGATACTTTGAAGATTTCAGCATATTAACCTGCATGTTAAGATGGTCAGCGAGATATCTCAAGAACCATTAACTGGACTTTCTTCATATTTGACATCAAGTTTCATCTTGGGAAAGGGCAAGGCCCAGTCGACTTGGGTGACCTTCACTTAATGTTCAAGGTCACAAAGACACTTTGAAGATTTCACCATGTTAAATTACATGTTAAGATAGCCAGCAAGATATCGCAAAAAACAGTCACTGGATTTTTTTCATATTTGACACCAAGCTTCATCTAATGAAGGAGCAGGGCCCAGTCAGTTTTGGTGACCTTCACATAATTGACAAGGTCACTGCGACACTTTGAAGATATCAGCATGTTAACCTGAATTCACTGGATTCTCTTCATAGACTTTCAAGACTTACCTTGAATGTTTTTCAACAAGCAATTTCTTTAGTACCATTTTTGCATATTTCATACACTATGACATTCATGTCAAGGTCAAAATCAGTCTTGAAAATATTTGTGTGTTTGAACAACTAAAGAGCAAGATATCAAGAGAGGTTGACTGGTCATGTTTTTGTTGACATTTAACTTCATCTTAGGTTTGATTTGATAATTTGCGGCGAGGGATTATGTCACCTTACTGACAATGCTTGTTCTATATTAGTATTAACTGACATATCAAGCTTGTTTTATGCTTTCGTGTGACATTGTTATTCTATATTAGTATTAACTGACATATCAAGCTTGTTTTATCTGACATAGTATCAAATGCTTGTCTTATGCTCGTGTGACTATGCTTATTTTATTTCGTGTGACATTGTTATCTATATTGTTATTCTATATTAGTATTAACCTTTTTTGTCATCTTATTAGATTTGGTTGGCTTCAGTGAATTGTCTCGGATTAATGACATCACTATGTTCGAATTCATGCCGCATATATTCATAGTAACTGCATGATTGTCAAATCATTTTTTCATCCTTATCATGGCCAGAGTAACGGAGGTTTCCGTCAATCCTGTATCCAGAATGGCCAAAGTGTTGTATTAACCTCATTATCGACTTGCTAGATTTGACATGCTCAGTCCATTGTCTGGGGATAATGACATCACTATATGAACTTACTCATGCTGTTTATGGGGATTCCGACAGCCATATACCAAAAACGAGCGGTGAAGTAATTTCAGCAGGGGGAGGCAGTGTGGGGGTCACCCCGTTCTGGTCGACCCACCATCAGCAGCACAACAATTAACACTGATGCTGTCCACACCTGGTTCTGAACAATAGGTCCTTACCGTCCATGAGTTAGAGGGGACAAGCTTCTCGTGTGAGTCAGGCAGAAACAACACTTCATGGTCATCTACATACGTCAAATGTGTGTGCCCGATGGGTCTCTTGGATGCGGTCAGATGGAATGGTGGCCGGTCGTCACCTCTAATGTCCTCTGAACCAGATACAATCGCATCCCGGATTTACATGTTAGGTTAGTGACAGTTGATGAGACGTGGGTTCATCAACGTGGTCCTTGGAGTGGAAACATTTACTGTCTCCGTAAAGACCCGTGAAGATCCGGGATAGAAAAGGTCTTCAGCAACCCATGTGCTTGCCATAAAAGGCGACTATGCTTGTCGTAAGAGGCGACTAACGGGATCGGGTGGTCAGTTTCGCTGACTTGGTTGACACATGTCATCGGTTCCCAATTGCGCAGATCGATGCTCATGCTGTTGATCACTGGATTGTCTGGTCCAGACTCGATTATTTACAGACCGCCGCCATATAGCTGGGATATTGCGGAGTGCGGCGAAAAAACTAAACTCACTCACTCACTGTCTCCCTAAACCTAAATACTTTTAAAACAACCAGATACACTGTCATGTCAAGACTACCTTTGTGGAGACACCAATTCATAACGCACACCGATGGTGTATCATGGGGAAAATGTGTATTGAAAAGATATGTATTTGTCAAGGAGAATTGAGTTCTACTCCGTCAGACAACGCTCCGTTGATCCCAGGATAGAACAAATCACCGTGTCTAAAACAAAATGATCATGTTTAAATTTAGAAATTTTCTTTCTTATCGATGTTTTGTGAGTTAAAAGAGTTTAGAAATCGTTTACGACTGTGATAGAGTGTGACATTGCAACAATTGTTGAGACGGGAACATAGACTTCACGCTTTCGCAATAGAAAAGTCAATGGTTTTAGGATTGTGACGAGCTAAAAGCCATTTCATCCATTACCCCTCGGTTACAACGTTGATAAGAATATCAGCAATATTCCACATCTGTGACACCTGTCGAGTCCGAAAACAGCAGTCTAGTAACTGACACGAAATGCATTGATCAAGCATCTTAATGTGCCACATCAGTACGGAATCCTAGAAGGAACATTGTCGACTTGTCGCGCAATTTAATGCTTTTAGACACATCTTAGACAGGGGACAATGCGACCACGTGACATACTTTGACATTGAACACTGTAGCGTTGTTGCATGGACACCCCTTTGTAGAATAGAAACTAGTCTTTAAATGCGACAACGTGACAATGCGCCATATGGCCAAAATGTCGCATTGTCACGTTGTCGGGCTTTGGCTATTTATTGACGCTTAATTTTGAAAAGGCGACAGCACTGCAATGTCCCTTCCAGGTTTCCATAGTTGAGAGTAGTTCACAAACCCCAACAGCTGTGCAACACATTCATCTGTGAGATAGGAGGATTTTGCGTTCAATCACTATTCTGCCATACAGACTGTAATGAAACAGTCTTGTTTTTTCATATGTAATTATTTAAATATCTTACCATATTGCAGCTATGGTAATTGTAAAATGCAGTTGTATATTTGATTATACGAACAATATACGTCTATTTTGTTTTGGATGTTGTTTAAAGCCGCAATCAGCAATATTCCAGCTTATATGTCGGCGGTCTGTAAATAATCGAGTCTGGGCCAGACAATCCAGTGATCAATATCATGAGCATCGTTCTACGCAATGTGTTAACCAAGTCAACGAGCCTTACCATCCGATCCCGTTAGTCGCCTCTTACGACAAGCATGGGTAACTGAAGACCAATTCTAACTCGGATCGCGTTTATGCATGCATGTTGATATAGTGATATATCAGTAACCATGTGTTATTTATCAGTTTCGTACACTATCACCACGTTCTGAGATTTACGCTTTTAATGAAGATGGCATTAAGATGTATTTATCAATTATTTCCAGGCACACAATACTGTCCCCCGACATGGGACCGTTATCAGTGCTGGCCCGCTACCAAAGCCAATACCACCATATACGGACCCTGCCCATCACAATATGGCTTCAACGACACAGGTAAGTCGCCCAACATAACATGTTTTAACGACACAGTCATGACTTCTATCACAATATGGTTTCAATGACACAGGTATGGCGTCCATCATAATATGGGTTCAATGACACAGGTATGGCATCTATCATAATATGGCTTCAATGGCACAGGTATGGCGTCTATCATAACATGTTTAATGACACAGGTATGCCGTCTATCACAATATGGCTTCAATTACATAGGTATGGCGTCTATCACAATATGGCTTCAGTGACACAGGTATGACGTCTATCACAATATGGCTTCAAGGACACAGGTATGGCGTCTATCACAATATGGCTTCAATGACACAGGCGTGACGTCTAACACAATATGGCTTCAATGACACAGGTATGAGGTCTCTCACAATATGGCTTCAGTCACACAGGTATGACGTCTATCACAATATGGCTTCAATGACACAGGCATGACGGCTATCATAATATGGCTTCAATGACACAGGTATGACGGCTATCATAATATGGCTTCAATGACACAGGTATGACGTCTATTACAATATGGCTTCAGTGACACAGGTATCACGTCTATCACAATATTGCTTCAATGACACAGGTATGAGGTCTATTACAATATGGCTTCAGTGGCACATGCATGACGTCTATCACAATATTGCTTCAATGACACAGGTATGACGTCTATTACAATATGGCTTCAGTGACACAGGTATGACGGCTATTACAATATGGCTTCAGTGACACAGGTATGACGTCTATCACAATATTGCTGCAATGACACAGGTATGACGTGTATCACAGTATGGCTCCAAGGACAGAGGTATGACGTCTATCACAATATGGCTTCAAGAACACAGGTATGACGTGTATCATAATATGGCTTCAATGACACAGGTATGACGTCTAACACAATATGGCTTCAGTGACACAGGCATGACGTCTATCATAATATGGCTTCAATGACACAGGTATGACGGCTATCATAATATGGCTTCAATGACACAGGTATTATGTCTAACACAATATGGCTTCAATGACACAGGTATGACGTCTATCACAATATGGTTTTAATGACACAGGTAAGGTTATCCATCACAACACTTGTGTTGCCTTTAACAATAAGGCTTCAATAACAGAGGTGTGTCATCCATCACAACCTGGTTTCAATGACGCTGATATATGTCAAATAAACATTAAGGGCACAGGTACGTCACCTATCACAAGATGGCTTTAAGGGGTGCGGCCAATCACACTAAAACAACACAGACCTGTGTGTTGATCATCACATTCTGACTTCATTGACACGGGTGTGATGACCTTCAAAATATGCTTCAATAGCACATATATGACTGCCCTCAAAATATACTTCAAGGACACAAGTATGTTGCCCATCAAAGTATGGATTCAATGACAGAAGTATGTTGCCCATCAAAGTATGGCTTCAATGACACAAGTATGTTGCCCATCAAAGTATGTGTTGCCATACTTTGATGGGCAACACATCTGTGTTATTGAAGCCACACTGTGATGGGCAAGACATATATGTCATTGAAGCCATACTTTGATCAAAGTATGGCTTCAATGACACAGATGTGTTGCCCATCACAATATGGCTTCAATGACACATATGTGTTGCCCATCACAATATGGCTTCAATGACACATATGTCTTGCCCATCACAGTATGGCTTCAATGACACAGATGTGTTGCCCATCAAAGTATGGCTTCAATGACACATATGTGTTGCCCATCACAATATGGCTTCAATGACACATATGTGTTGCCCATCACAGTATGGCTTCAATGACACAGATGTGTTGCCCATCAAAGTATGGCTTCAATGACACATATGTGTTGCCCATCACAGTATGGCTTCAATGACACATATGTGTTGCCCATCACAATATGGCTTCAATGACACATATGTCTTGCCCATCACAGTATGGCTTCAATGACACAGATGTGTTGCCCATCAAAGTATGGCTTCAATGACACATATGTGTTGCCCATCACAATATGGCTTCAATGACACATATGTGTTGCCCATCACAGTATGGCTGCAATGACACAGATGTGTTGCCAATCAAAGTAGGGCTTCAATTACACAGATGTGTTGCCCATCACAGTATGGCTTCAACGAAAGAGGTCAACACTTGTAAACTACCTACTCCTTAGTACCAGTTTTGAAATGCCCAGTAACCATCAGATGTCACAGAGAGAATTCCGGTTTATTCAGTACATGTATTAAAAAAACAACCTTTGTTCTCAGTAAACCACTCGGATACGTTTTCTAAAATTAGTCAATCCACGATTGACAGGTTAAAGCACAGCTTTCCTCAAAGCACCGTTAACTAGTAAATTAATCGGAAAGCTTCAACATCTGAGGATGAGATCAGGGATGGGATTTCACGCGTGTCAGTCAGTCTCATCTGAAGCTCTTCAGGATCTCAATATCCTAGTCCACATACAACTTCCGGTCACGTGGGCTGTCAACACCTGTCACACACCTCCCACATATCTCACTCTGTGTTGAGGGTGGGGGAGGGAGGGAGTATTGTGGTAATTTATTGGGTGATGTTGCCTTAAGTCTCCCTAGAGCCAATCACACGGTTTACCAATGTTTCTGATGCTATTGAAGCCTACATCCTGCTAGCAAAACAAGCGCGATAACTCGGGAAGATCACAAGTCTTATTGGCTCACTACTAGAGGTCGTAGCTAAGACTGCCCTCGCGCTGATGTCAAAGCTTCAAACACGCAAGGGGCGGTGGGGGTAGCCTAGTGGTTAAGGCGTTCCCTCGTCACGCTGAAGACCCGAGTTCGATGCCCCACATGGGTACAATATGTGAAGCCCATTTCTCGTGTCCCTCGCCGTGATATTGCTGGAATATTGCTATAAGTGACGTAAAACTGTACTCACTCACTCTGTCATACAGACCCTAAAAGCGGCGTAAAACCCAACCCACTTACTCACTCACTCAAACACGCAACCGTGACATCTACTGTTTATCGGGGCGGTGGAGTAGCCCAGTAGTTAAAGCGTTCGCTCGTCTCGCCGAAGACCCGGGTTCGATTCCCCACACAGGTACACTGTGTGAAGCCACTTTCTGGTGTGCCCGTCGTAATATTGCTCTACTGATCTTTGACTATACATTTGGCAACGGGAATTAGCGAATTAATTTCATGTGATATGTTTTCAGATAGTCAGTCAGTTGTACTGATCCCTAATCAGCGTCCCACAACTATTCACGAAGTAATAGGGCCGTAAGTGGGTCACGGTACTTCGCGAGACCTCAGTACTCTCAGTGACAAACAACGTACACTGGGTCCGGTCTAGTAAAGTCCGGTCTAGTAAAGTCATATCTGGCGGTCGCGCAATTTGGAACCAGAACTGGTTCTCGAATATACGCTTGTCACCTGAAATCTGGTTCCGGAAGTAAGCTGGCCCCCGTCTCGCAAGATGGCGAGCGGAAAGGGAGCCTGGAACCAGATTAGTACCAGGAGTAGCACCTCGCGAAGCTTACAGGCCCTGTATGATTATCAAAAGGATGAAAGTTTAATACATGATGCAATGTTTCTATAAAAGGGAGCTTGGTTGCCCTTGCACATTTGAGGGAAACAGGTATGAGGTAATGGGGATATTCAAGGGTCTGTTTGGTTTGTTTGTTGTTTAACGCCCCACTCCAGCTATATGGAAACCTATCCTGCCCTATCGCATTCAAGGGAGATAAGCATGAGGTACTGCGGACCCATCCTGCCCTATCGCATTCAAGGGAGATAAGCATGAGGTACTGCGGACCCATCCTGCCCTATCACATTCAAGGGAGACAGGCACGAGATACAGGAACTTATATGGGCTCTTGCACATTCAAAGGAGACAAGCACCATATACGTGGAACCATCCTGCCCTAGACTATTGTCAGGGAGACGAGCATTTGGCACTCGGGGCCTCTCCTGTCCTATCACATTCAAGGGAGACAAGCAAGTGCTCCTGGGAACCATCCTGCCAAAAATATTCAAACGGAGACAAGCATGTAGTTGAAGACCTTTGCTTCGCGAGAATATTCAAAGGGAGACAAATCGTTCCTTACTGAGGACCATTCGTCTCCACTCGCCCCTTTCCGCGACATCCACGAAGGTTTGCCGGAATGACACGAGTAGTTACGAATGCCGCGCTAGGAATCTACAGTGGCACGCACAGGAACGGAGCTAGACTAACAACTAGTCTCTGAAATGAACATATTTTACTGAAAAAAACGTTCATAGTAAATATATATATATATAATGAAAAGGAGCCCTGAGACTTTCTGAAGCTGAGGAAATCTAGACTTGCTACATTTTCTAGACTTGCGTGGGCTTTCTTGGATATATTTGCTTCAGGGTCTGTACGAGAGACTAGAACGGAGCATATGATCCCGTTAACTCTCCTGGGTATCAGAACTGGACTAAATACAAAGCTTCTGTTGTTGGTCCTGCCAAGACGGCAGTGATGTTCCATCTGCTTCCATTCCGAGAGTCTCTTTGAGAACATAAACCCATCCCAGTGTATAGGCTATTTATATTGCTGTATCAAGCATCATCAGATCGGGACACGGTAACGGCACACTCCCCACCATCCCAGACCAGTTTGAGCGACGGCTGTGTATTCCCGAGATATCACACCACATAATCAACTCAGATGACACATATATTTTTACGGACATCAAGATACACTGACAGATCTCAAGGCAGAACACTTTTCATATCAGATCGATTACGTTGTTTAAACAAATATGAACAGTTGGAGGGCTTTCAGATGTCATGCGTTTCCTGATGCTTATATGATTTGCTGCTTTTAGACATTCTTGCATCCATCAACGGTTACTACGGGGTAATCAGCATCAGGTTTTCACAGTCGCAACAACCAGCAATAGTAATATACCCCGGGAGAAAATCTGCATCAAATGTATTAATTTCATACGCTCTACTTTTAAATTATAGGAACAAAACCGTAGTCATTTTTCCTTTGAAGACAATTTTGTCAGAAGCGTCATTTTTATTCGGTAGTTTGATATTAAATAACACGCCAAAACTATATTTCTTCGAAAACAATTTTATCATAAACTTCAGTTTTTATGCGGTATTTCATATTATGATAACAATCACATAGTTATATTTCGTTTGAAGACAACTGTGTCAGAAGTATTAATTTCATATGTGGAATGTTCATGTTATGATAACAATCACATAGTTATATTTCGTTGAAGACAAACATTTCAGGACTATTACTTTCATGTGTTTATAGAACAGGGCGGCTTATTTGAGTATTGTGTTGATCAACGAGTCTCACAGGATACTAACGGCTCTTGATGTGGTTATGCTCTGTAGATGGTATTACATATAGGCGTATTAGCATACTTTGGGTTTTCGGAATCGGAATAGAACGATGAATTAATGTAAACAGTTTTCTTCGACGCGATTTGACTGTGGTGAGTGAGTGAGTGAGTTTAGTTTTACGCCGCTTTTAGCAATTGACTGTGGAAACGGAGTACCTTCAACAAAACAAGATTATTATTCAACATGCTGGATCCAGACGGATTAATGACATAAGTTGATCCAAAATTGCCTACAGAGAAGTACCAACATTTGCACTGGTCACCATTCTGCTGATCTTGTCCTTCCTGAGTGAGTGAGTGAGTGAGTTTAGTTTTACGCCGCATTTAGCAATATTCCAGCAATATCACGGCGGGGGACACCAGAAATGGGCTTCGCACATTGTACCCATGTGGGAATCGTACCCGGGCCTTCAGCGTGACGAATGAACGCTTTAACCACTAGGTTACCCCACCACCCCTTGTCCGTCTTGAAAGGTAATGAAATAAAGACGAAAGATAAACCATCAAACTAATTATTGACAAAATATATCATAATGTGACTGGGTTTCTTTCCAAGTACTAAGTCTATTCTAAAACTAATATATTATGACCATAAAGTTATTCATAACTGGAGCGGTGGGGTAGCCTAGTGGTTAAAACGTTCGCTCGTCATGCCGAAGACCCGGGTTCGAGTCCCCACATGGGTACAATGTGAAGCCCATTTCTGGTGTCCCCCGCCGTGATATTGCTGGATTATTGCTAAAAGGGGCGTAAAACTAAACTCACTCACTCATTCATTACTGGATCGTCGAGAAGAAATATTATACTACTCCAGCATACAACAAACTGTAGGGGAAAAGAAAGTATACACTTAAAACTGAACTGAACCACAGGCAAACTGTAGCGCAAATACGGCTGCGCAACAGAGAGAAAAATTACCAGTCTTTCTATATGCGAGCGAAGCGAGACTGGTCATTTTCTCTTTGTTGCGCAACCCTATTTGCGCTACAGTTTGCCTGTGATTGAACAATAACAAACATTATGAAAGCATCATTAGGGTGAAATCAGGACGAAATGCTGTCAAATTAAGGTCCAAAGCATAACCATGATACCCGAATCATATACACCACCATCAAATACACATTTCATGATTGTCATGTCTAACCACCATCTTGTGTGACGTAACACCTGTGTATACATTCTTTTGCCGGAGAGTATAGTCATTTCTGGAGAAAAGAGAGTCACTCAGTCCTTAATTTAAATTCAATTTTTCAGATTTCAATTCAATTAATGACTTATATGGTTTCTATTGTTGTTTCAGTTCATCTTGCGCACCGGAAGTGCTCCGAGAATGGCACCTGGGAGAAGGGTAACTGGACAGACTATGGCGGCTGTATCGAGCTGTGGCAGTCCACGCGTAGAGAGGACGACACCACTGTAATTGGCAACGTGGTCAGTCCATGTTTATATTTGTTGGTGTTTGTGTCCAACATTATCTGGAGAAAAACCGATAGGCCGATTGGTGGTATTCCAGATACAAAAGAGTCCTAAGGAACCTTTAAATTTGCTGGTCGTAAGACTGACTGACTGACTGACTGACTGAGTTTGGGTTTACGCCGCTTTTAGCAATATTCCAGCAATATCACGGCGGGGGACACCAGAAATGGGTGCTGGTCGTAAGAGACTTCATGGGTAGGGTGATCCAGTTGTGTTGAGGTCGTACCGTTCAAGACTCAATTAAATCCAGACCGCCGTCTCATTTCTCATATCTCTCCTTGCCTCCATCCCTTTCCTTCCCTCCATCTCTCTTTCCGACTCCCTCTCCCCCCTCCCCGCCTCCTCCTCCCTCCCTCACTCACCCACTCTTCACTCACTCACTCACTCTATACATTCCCTCCACACACGCTGATTTAAATGTAAACGGAAAATAGGCTATCGTGTAAAACAACATTCCAAGCGAGGGCAAATATTTTCCTGTGGATGAATTGATACTTATCTTCTAAGCAGCCTCGTATTTAGAAAGTCGTTCAAGGTGATAAAAATCGCCGTTCCTCCGGAAATGTTTACGTTTTGATACAGCACAGGAGTATCGTTTTATTTCGCCCAAGTATCTACTCAATACACCGGAAGAACAAGATGGAGAGGCGCCGGTAATTATACCCTCACGAAAAATCGAACTAAGGTGGTCAGATATCAGCGTCCAGGTTCCCCAACAGACCCCCAGAAACACAAACAAGACTTTCAGTGACCAACAATCAATACCTTCATCAGATAGTGGGTAAACGTGAGGTAAGGTGAAATGGGGTTTAACGTCGCACTTAAGAATATTTCGCTCATATGCGTGTGTATCTGTGGGGGAACATGAAGTTAGAAACGGATTCGGGATTGGGGATTCGAATCCCGAATCTGAATATTTTTTTCATATTCTGGATTCGAATCCCGAATCTGAATATTTTTTCCATATTCGGGATTCGAATCCCGAATCTGAATTTTTTTCAGATTCGGTATTTTTGCACATTCGACACTCGGCATTCGGTATTTGAACTCTTATATTTCATCCCCCTTCTAAAGTACCAGGTGCTCGTTGTATACCTGGGTAACTACAGTTTCCGATATTTCAACCTCAAATCTAAGTTTCGGGATTTGAATCCCGAATCTGAAGAAAAATTCAGATTCATCATTCGAATCCCGAATGTGAAAAAATAAGAGATTCGGGATTTGAATCCCGAATGTGAAAAAAATATTCAGATTCGGGATTCGAATCCCGAATATGAAAAAAATATTCAGATTCGGGAATTCGAATCCCCAATCCCCAATCCGTTTCTAACTTCATGTTGCTTATCTGTGGCTGCTTGTACTAGCCCAGACTTTAACTGGTTTTATAGTGCTAGCCCACTGAGATACCATGCCGCAGTTAAGCATGAATACCCCACTCAGACACATTATACTGACTCCGAGCCGACCAGTCCTTGTTTTACCCATGGACCAACAAGTACCATATTTTAACGTCTTTTGGTATGACGCGGCGTTGAATCGAACCCGTGACCTTCCGCTCTCCGGTCGGACGTTCTAACCACTACACCATGGAGACGGTCGGGTGCACATTGAGTATTTGTAAGTGAAAATAATAAAATTAATTTTCGGTTATACGCTCAGAAACGACCAGTCCCCAGAAGACCTGCAGACACACCCTTGGTGTATTACTGATAAACGTCTACCACACTTGTTGAAAATTAGTGTAGAGATAATTATAACATCAAATCCCACCGGAAAACCACTAATTTGGAAGTGGTCGAAATTTGTGACCGAATGACGCCTTTTAGGCCGAATTGTCTCCCTTGAAGTGTTGATGGACTTTGGATAGTCTAAACATAGTATGTGCCAGTGTCTAATTGATCTAATTGGACTAATTACGTTTACCCCTAAGGGTCAGTAAGTGAGTAATATACTATAATTCTACTGTAATTTTAGCAATTTTAATGCAGTTTTACGGGACACTGGTCAAGGGCGTCACATGTACGCGCGGAGGGAATCGACCCCATACCGTCGTCGTGACGAGCAAACAGTTGACCATCCCACTATCCGTTAGCCCTAAATAAAAAGGCTTGTGCATAGTTTCCAGTAAAACCAGAACCAGGGGCGGTAAGGTAATGTTTTTGACATGGCGGTCGTCCTTTCGGTGGAAACTGGTTCGTTCCCCATTTAGGCTTTATTCACTCACTCACTCACTCACCCACCCGTGAAGGTCCGGGTTAGAATATTGATCTTCAGTAACCCATGCTTGTCGTAAGAGGCGACTAACGGGATCGGGTGGTCAGGCTCGCTGACTTAGTTGACAGATGTCATCGGTTCCCAATTGCGCAGATCGATGCTCATGGTGTTGATCAATGGATTGTTTGGTCCAGACTCGACTATTTACAGACCACCACCATATAGCTAGAATATTGCTAAGTGCGGCGTAAAACTAATCTCACTCACTAACCCCACTCACCCCACTCACTCACGCGAGTGTTATTTACGCACTTTGAAGCCACCGGGAACGAGAGATCAAGCTGTCGGTGGCGTCCAAACTGGCTTTGCAGCTTGCCCTATTCTTGCCCGGATCCGCATCCACTGGTTCGAATCTCGGATAGTCACTGATTATGGTCCTTGATCTATATTCCTAAGGTTTGACCGAATAGAAGACTTCAGCTTCTGTGTCATATAAGGGTTTCATTCCAGTGAAGTGGACACATCGTGATGTAACTGAAATACACATCAACTCCGTTAAACCCCCTCACTCCTTGTTGCAGGTGCGTCTGGCGGAGATTCTGAGGGACATCTACTTCGTGGCCAGCATTATCTCCCTTGCTTTCCTCATCCTCACACTCTTCATCTTCTCCTACTTCAAGTAAGTATCTCGCTCGGGTGGGGCTGGGAGCGTAGTCCAATACCCTTCAGATGGTGGTGGGGTAGCCAAGTGGTTTAGACGTCCGCCCGTCACGCCCAAGACCCGGGATGTGTGACGCCCATTTCTGGTGTCCCCGCCGTGATATTGCTGGAATATTGCTAAAAGCGGCGTAAAACTAAACTCTCTCACTACTCCTTCTCATTAACATGTAAAAGGGACAGTCCTCTTTCCATAATCACAACAAATCTCTACTGAAAACTGAGTCCATTGTATGAGTGAGTTTCAATTTTTCATCGCATTGGCAATATTGCAGCCATATAGCCATTGTATGAGGACGACTATATCTATATACTATCCAAAAAAGAAACGCATAGACCAGAAATCTGTTGCGAAAATGTTGTATTTTCAAACATGTATAACTCGTCCACAAATAGACTTTAGTACATGAATTTTACATGAGTTTAGAAGAAGGTAATGTCTATGCAACCAAGTGGACAATTTTAGATAACGGAGACGTTGAGCGCGATGGTGACGACGTAGCACGGTCCCGACGTCGGGTCTCCTGGCTCTCAGTCCAATCTCTCTCAACCTGTTCCGTACAGTTTGACCGGATATCCTCCGAAGTCCAGGTATCCTGGCTGCTGTGCTCTCATCCGTGGCAGTACGATCACGCAAATGTAGTACCAGGATGTACCGATCTTGGGCTGCAGTGGTGACTCGAGGTCTGCCTGTACGGGGACGGTCATTTGTTATACCTGTTTGGTTGAAACGAGCTGCAAGCCGTGATATCGTGCTCAGACTAACATTTAGACGCCTGGCAACAGAAGATTGGTAATCTCCAGCGTGCATTCTTTCAATGGCGATGTTCCGTGTCGCAGCGTCAAGACGTGGCGTAATGATTTGACCTTGAAACTCCTTCAAAACGAATGCCGATTTCCGAAAGTAATCTGGATTTTTATAGCCAGACAGTGCATGCTCTTTGCTGCACAATTTCAACTGGAAGGTGATTTCTGTTGCGTTGTGGCGATGCGTTTTTAATCCTTGTAAGAAATCTCATCAAAATCAACATTTTCAGGTAAAATCGATGTTTTACTTGTGCAATTATATAAAATCATGCTATCAACACTTTCGTTACATATTTTGACGATTGTTTGAACACAATAGGTAATTAATAGATTTTTAGAAATACAAAACGCCTATGAGTTTCTTTTTTGTGATAGTATATATGTATCTGTGTGGATCACTGTCAAGTAGTGATGATGCCAGGTGTTTGCTAAATGGTGACTCTGTCCCGCGCCGCCTTTGACACTCGTCACAAACACATGCCAATGCGGCTCAATTATCAGCAATGCTGGTATCCAGGTAGAACGTCTATGCATGTACGTCTACACAACATGCCACAAAAGAAGTGATAGTAAAAAGATCGTCAGTCACAGTTGGGGACCGGGTTGTGTGTCAGTCTAATGTATCCATTCATTGGTGATCGTTACTCGTGTGGGGCGGTGGGATAGCCTAGTGGTTAAAGTGTTCGATCGTCAAGCCTCAAACCCGGGTTCTAGTCCCCACATGTGGGTACAATGTGGCACTTATATCTCATCGAGCAACCTGACTAAAAACATGTAACGTGATGACTGACTGACTGAGTTTGGTTTTTACGCCGCTTTTAGCAATATTCCAGCAACACCACGGCGGGGGACACCAGAAATGGGCTTCACACATTGTGCCCATGTGGGGATTCGAACCCGGGTCATCGGCGTGACGAGCCAACGCTTTAACCATTAGGCTACCCCACCGCCCTGTAACGTGACGAGATAAACAGGTTAAGGAATGATTGCTATATCTGTCATGTATGGTGTTTCTTGCAGCTGTAAAAGTCACAGTGTAGTTGTTTATTTGTTTGTTTGTTTGTTGTTTAACGCCGCCCTCAGCAATATTACAGTTATATGGCGGCTGTCTTTAAAAAATCGAGTCTGGCCCAGTGACTTAAGATACGATGACATGTGTCAAAAACGTAAGCCAGTCTGACCACAGATCCCGTTAGTCGCCTCTTACGACAAGCAAGACCAATTCCAACCTGAATCTTCAAGACTTCGTAGTGTCATTGACACACACGAGAAGTATATCCTCCGAAGTCCAGGCGGGTCCTGGCTGCTGTGCTCTCAATCGGTGGCAGTACGATCACGCAATTGTAGTACCAGGATGTACCGATCTTGAGCTGCAGTGGTGACTCGAGGTCTTCCTGTATGGGGACGGTCATTTGTTATACCTGTTTACTGAAACGAGCTGCAAGCCGTGATATCGTGTGCTCAGACTAACATTTAGACGCCTGGCAACAGAAGATTGGTAATCTCCAGCGCGCATTCTTTCAATGGCGATGTTCCGTGTCGCAGCGTCAAGACGTAGCGTAATGATTTGACCTTAAAACTCCTTCAAAACGAATGCCGATTTCCGAAAGAACTAGTAATCTGACTTTTTATGGCCAGGGCGTGCATGCTCTGTGGCAACAATTTCAACTGGCGTTTTCTAATGCGTTGTGGCGATGCGTTTTTAATCTTGTAAAGAAATCTCATCAAAATCAACATAAAATCGATGTTTTACTTGTGCAATTATATAAAATCATGCTATCAACACTTTCGTTACATATTTTGACGATTGTTTGAACACAATAGTAATTAATAGATTTTTAGAAATACAAAACGCCTATGCGTTTCTTTTTTGTCATAGTATATATGTATCTGTGTGGATCACTGTCAAGTAGTGATGATGCCAGGTGTTTGCTAAATGGTGACTCTGTCCCGCGCCGCCTTTGACACTCGTCACAAACACATGCCAATGCGGCTCAATTATCAGCAATGCTGGTATCCAGGTAGAACGTCTATGCATGTAAGTCTACACAACATGCCACAAAAGACCCGATGGTAAAAAGATCGTCAGTCACAGTTGGGCACCGGGTTGTGTGTCAGTCCAGTGTGTCCATTCATTGGTGATCGTTACTCGTGTGGGGCGATGGGATAGCCTGGTGGTTAAAGTGTTCGATCGTCAAGCCTCAAACCCGGGTTCGAGTCCCCACATATGGGTACAATGTGGCATTTATATCTCATCGAGCAACCGACCCGTGAAGGTCCGGGTTAGAATAGCCCTTCAGCAACCCAGGCTTGCTATAAAAGGCGACTATGCTTGTCGTAAAAGGCGACTAACGGGAGCGGGTGGTCAGGCTCGCTGACTTGGTTGACACATGTCATCGGTTCCCAATTGCGCAGATCGATGCTCATGCTGTTGATCAGTGGATTGTCTGGTCCAGACTCGATTATTTACAGACCGCCGCCATATAGCTGGAATATTGCTAAGTGCGGCGTAAAACTCAACTCACTCACTCACTCATCGAGCAACCTGACTAAAAACATGTAACGTGATGAGATAAACAGGTCAAGAAATGATTGCTATATCTGTCATGTATTGTGTTTCTTGCAGCTGTAAAAGTCATAGTGTAGTTGTTTGTTTATTTGTTTGTTTGTTGTTGAACGCCGCCCTCAGCAATATTACAGTTGTATGGCGGCGGTCTTTAAAAAATCGAGTCTGGCCCAGTGACTTAAGATACGATGACATGTGTCAACAACGTAAGCCAGTGTGACCACCGATCCCGTTAGTCGCCTCTTACGACAAGCAAGACCAATTCCAACCTGAATCTTCAAGACTTCGTAGTGTCATTGACACACACGAGAAGTATATTTCAGCTCCCTGAGACAGGTAAGTACCTTACGCCGCCACACTGATACAGGATTCCACATAGCCTTTTCAACCGTATCACTGTTGTTTTGCAGGTCTCTACAGTGTAGTCGCATCTCGATCCACAAGAATCTCGTCTCGTCTTTCATATTCCGATTTGTCCTCATCATCATCATGATGGAGCCTTACATTTCCAAGAGAGACACGTCATACAGGGATTTCGTAAGTGTTGTCCGTGCTGCTTAGATATTTCAAGATGGCGGGCCAGGGAGCATAACTTAAAGATATGTTTTCGCAGCGTTTTTAACTGGATGTCTTTCTGGAAAAATGAGTATCTACGCCGCTTTTATCAATGTGACATACCTCGTTCTGTGAGAACAGGCATTTAGGACGGTTATTGCAATAAGAAAAAAAAAGTTTCTTGCTTTGGAAATAGGTACTTACGTCGCTTATAGCAGGAATATGACAAAATCTCGTTCTTGGGAAAATGTATTTACGTCGCTCATAGCAAAAACACCAACTCTCGATCTAGCAAACTATTTAATAACACCGCTTTATATGAGAAAACGTGGTTTCGAAAAACATGCATTTTTGCAGTTTAAAGCAAAATGACAAAACCTCGTTCAGTAAAAATAAGTATCTGCGCCGCTTATAGCAATATTCGATCCATTTCACTGCAAGATTCGACTTAATTCGATTTAAAATTCCCTCATCAACTCATCATTTAAAAAGTTCCACAAAAAATATTTCAACCAAAACCTTGACAAAAAATTGTTTTATAACTTTTCATTTAGTTTCAGCAATGAGACATACGTTTGCTCAGTCAGGAATTTTTATTTAGATGTCTAATACATCCTTCAGATAGTACTATTGTCATTGTAGCACCACTAGCCCTTGTGTTCCCGCCCGAAAAAAAACATGCCATACCTTCTAAATAACTGTTTTTTTCAAACTTTACTGCTTCAGAGTTAAAGGAAATTCTGATTCTGGCTAAGGATTAGTTTTTACATTTTTATTTTATAAACTCACAACACAATCTACGTAGAGTGGGGAAAATGTCAACAATGTGAGGAGCGTGGTATCGATGTCGCCTGATGCTGTTGCAGTTGATCACGTTACCGTCGTCCCTGGAAATCAAATAGTAATCGGAGGTCAACATCATTGTCATCCCCTTTAACTCTTTTTAAATAATTCAATATTTTTTTCACCCGTTTCAATTTAAATCCTGTCAATCCAATTTGAAAAACCGGATCTTCCGTGGGGCAGATAGTGTGAAAATATTCATTTCTTCCGTTACAAATCACAGTCAGATAGAGAAAACCTAAAACAGTCTCAGGTGAAGTGTGAATGATTGACGAAAAAACACGAAAACGTCAAGATAAAAATCTCCACCCAGAAAAAACGTTCAACACGTACAAATGTTTATATAAACGTAAAACGCATCACACGAAGACAGAACCCAGCCTGAAACAACCAAAACATATGCACTTTCACTCAAGCCCTGTTGTTGTTCAGCAGTGGACGTGACTTATTGGGGGGTGCATGGGGGGTGGTTAGTAATTAGTACCTCGTGCCTTTCACAAGAACGCTCTGAACCAATGAGTAGTCCAGTGGTTCAAGTGTTCGCGCGCTCTTGTCGAAGACCTTGGTTTGATTCCCTACATGGGTACGAGGTGTTGAGAGTTTGTTTGTCGTTTGTGCCGCCTGGTGATTGCTAAAACTGGCGTTATACCTAATCCACATGCGTTACTTTGTAACGTGGAGCATTCCACGATACTTTAACCAATGTTAAGACATGTTACAGTTTGTTAAGAGGAAGATTAACTGTGTGCTACAGTGTTACACTGTGTTACGGGGTGTGATAACAATATGATATAGCTTAACGGTGAATGTCAACTGTATCTTACAGTGTTACATTGTTACGATATGTGACAGCTATGTTACAGTTTTACACATGGTTACGTATTTTGACTGTATGCTACAATATTACACATATGACAGGCGTTCACTATTCTAAATCGTACACGATCTGTTACAGCCTGTTACAGTTCAATATTATTGTATTTTATCTGGTGTCCCGCGCCGTGATATTGCTAAGAGCGGCGTAAAACCCAACTCACTCAGTCACTCATTGTTACAACATGTTACAGTTGTGCATTGTATGTTACACGCGTTGCAGGACTGGCTTTGTAAGACGCTTACGGCCCTGAGAAAGTACACCATCGTGTCGAACTTCTTCTGGATGTTTGTGGAGGGCTTGTTTCTACACAACAGACTGGCTGTGTCCGTCTTCAGCACGGAGGCGCCCTTTACGCTGTTCTACGTCATAGGCTGGGGTGAGTTATAGAACTGGGTGTCCGTCTTCCACGGAGGCCCGTCTTCAGCACGGAGGCCCGCTTTACGCTGTCATAAGCAGGGGTGAGTTATCTACGTCATAGGCTGGGGTGAGTAATATAGAACTGGGTGTCCATCTTCAGCACGGAGGCGCCCTTTGCGCTGATCTACGTCATAGACAGTGGTGAGTTATAGAACTGGGTGTCCGTCTTCAGCAGAGGTACAGATAAGCTGCGTATATGCGTAAATTACGTAAACATTTATGTGAAAACTCAATTCCTATCAAGTCTATTGCGTACAAATACGCTTGAATGTTTATACTAAAAAAAATGTGATCTTACACGTACACACAAAAATGTCAAACCGGTGGATAGATGAAATTTGTGTTGTATATTGAGAGGTTCTATTTCAGGACATGAACTTGGCAACTTGCAGTCTTTCTTATCGTTTCTCATATTGCAGATCAAATATAAATAACAAACACTAACATTTAAACTTTATTATATTTTTAAAATTAATGAAAAATGGCAAAATACCCAATTGAGTTTGAGTGAGGTAAGTACAATTTATTTGGTTACTCAAAGGAAAATTAGGATACCCAATTGAGATGAACACAAGCGATCGCGAGTACATAACTTAAAGATCCAAAAAGTTATCTGTAGCTCTGAATTATGTATACAAATGATATAGTATGACCAGAAATTATTGTGAATTTTAGGAATATGTTTAATTGGATTTCTAGTATAAACAACCTTGACCAGCTATCAAGTGCTTGGTTTCATTCAAGAGAGACAACTCCGTTAATCCTTTTTCATTAGTTTGTGAAGAGTTATCCCCCTTTGTTTACTTGCTAGCAGACGACATTTTCAGTGATCCTCAGTATGGATGATTTAGAGAAGAGGAAGTTGATTTTAGAGTATTATAACAAGGACATCAGATCAGCTAAAGTGATTTCAAGTAGAACAGGCATCCCTTTGTCCACCGTTTATCGTGTTTTGAAAAATATTGCAAATGGATATGGCATTGAGCACCAGGGAGGCGCAGGTAGGCCCAGAAAATTGACTGTCGGTGACAGGAGGCGGCTTGGTATTCTTGTTTCTAAAAACAAACGGAGGAGTTCAGAAAACTTAAGGCTGGATATGATTGATAGAGGAACTGTGGCTGTCTGTAAGGAGACAATTAGAACTGAGCTGCATGCAATGGGTTGGCAGAAAAGTCGAGGAATTTCATCACCGATCATGAAACCTGAACAAAAGGAGCGAAGGTTGAACTGGTGCTTACAGCATAGAAATTTTAACTGGGACAATGTGATTTTCTCAGATGAAAGTTCTGTGTGGCTGTTTCCTAATACACTGAAATTCTGGACCAAACAAACTGAAAAACCTTTGTATCAGCACCCAAAGTACAGTCCGAAATTTAATGTGTGGGTGGGATATCTGTGTTAGGGGCAACGCCCCCTCTGTGTATTTGAAGGGAATATGAACAGTGAGCGGTACACAGATATTCTCGAGGGACATTTACTTCCATCTGCTCACGTGTTCTATGGAAATTTTTTTGATTTTCCAGCAGGACAACGACCCAAAACATCGTTCAAAGCATTCACAGGCCTGGTTTCGGACCCAAAATATGACATTATTAGATTGGCCAAGCTATAGCCCTGACCTAAATCCAATAGAAAATGTTTGGGGACTTATGAAGGAAAGTGTCAATAAGAAAATCTGACAAATATTGCTGAAATGAAAGAAGAGGTGGTCCGATATTGGGACAGCATGGACCACGACTTTCTAACTTCTTTGATCAGTAGTATGCCCCGCCGCATTGAAGCCTGCATTGCTTCCCATGGTGCCTTTACAAAATACTAACTGTTCACCTGTCTTTGAATCTCGAGTTATGATCTGCTAATATTCACATTAATACGTGAGTAATGAGTGAAAAATAAAATAAAAATTACAATCTTTAAATTCTCAATAATTTCTGGTTGTACTGTATATAGTTGGCACGAAAGTAATAGTATAATTGTATAAGACACGTATATAGGTCCATGATAGTGATGACGATACACGTGTGTCTGTTCTCCATCTACAGGTATTCCGGGTGTGATCACCCTACTGTGGGCGTTGTTGATGCACTTCTACAACCAGGACAGCTGCTGGGACAACCACAACCAGTCCACGCTCATCTTCATCATCTACGCCCCGATTCTAGTGACCCTTGTAGTGAGTATTGGCCATCTGCGTCCCTTGTAGTATATACTGACCATCTACGCCCCTATTCTAGTGACCTACGCCCCGGTTCTAGTGACCCTTGTAGCGAGTATTGACCATCTACGCCCCTTGTAGTATATACTGACCATCTACGCCCCTATTCTAGTGACCCCTTGTAGTATATACTGACCATCTACTTGCCCCTTGTAGTATGTATGACCATCTAATTCCAACGACCCTTGTAGTATATACTGACCATCTACGCCCCTATTCCAGTGACCCTTTTAGTAAGTACTGACATCTACGCCCCTATTCTAGTGACCCTTGTAGTATATACTGACCGTCTACGCCCCTATTCCAACGACCCTTGTAGTATATACTGACCATCTACGCCCCTATTCCAGTGACCCTTGTAGTAAGTACTGACATCTACGCCCCTATTCTAGTGACCCTTGTAGTATATACTGACCATCTACGCCCCTATTCTAGTGACCCTTGTAGTATATACTGACCATCTACGCCCTTATGCCAGCGACCCTTGTAGTAAGTCCTGACAACTACGCCCCTATTCTAGTGACCCTTGTAGTATGTACTGACCCTTGTAGTAAGTCCTGACAACTACGCCCCTATTCTAGTGACCCTTGTAGTAAGTACTGACATCTACGCCCCTATTCTAGTTATCCTTTTAGTAAGTACTGACCATCTACGCCCCGATTCTAGCGACCCTTGTAGTAAGTACTGACCATCTACGCCCCGTTTCTAGTGACCCTTGTAGTAAGTACTGACCATCTACGCCCCTATTCTTGTGACACTGTCGTACGTATTGACCATCTACGCCCCAATTCTAGCAATCCTTGATGTAAGTTGTGACATCTACGCCCTTATTCAATTGGCCCTTGCAGTGAGTACTGACCATCTAGCCCCTCGTTGTACGCCCCAGTAGTACGTACTCATATAGACTATATAGATGTCACATTCTCCACTATTGGGGTGACCCACGTCGTTTCTTGGCATCCATTACTACGGATGACTACAAGACAGTAGGCGGGTTTCTGAACTGGTTATAACGGGTCATTCCATTAATCTTAGTGCGCTGTCTACTTCCTGTTAGTGTGTCCAATTAAAGGGAAAGAGTCAAGTCTCCAGCTGTATGGATTTTATCGTCGCAGGAAGTGATGAAGACTGGATAGTCACATGTGTGATTTCTGCTGTCTTTGGAGAAGAGTAAAGCTATGCGTTTGGTCAGAAACCAGCCCTAAATGAGCTTTAACAACCTGCGTATCATATAGGGCTGCCTTAAATGATCGATAATCGGAAATATCGTCGATAGGATTAATTATTTATGATTTTCGAAATGAAAATTGTGTTATTGATGATATCGTACATGAACATTTGTGATAAATTTCTTTTAATTTACTCACACAATACACCAAGTTAGGTCTTTATTCATCGGTTGCTTCTAAATTATGTTCAGGAGGCTGTTTTGTTAATAATCCATGTATAAATATGTCACCACGCACCAGCGACGTGAAATATATTCGTTTCTTTCAGATATTTTTGGCATTTTTGCTCACAGTTACCTCTCCGATGTTTATCGTTAATCGTCGATATTTAGTTAACGGTTATCGATCTCCGTGATCTGTATCGATAGCTTCAGTAATGGTCGATGCAGTCAACTAATGAGTGAGTGAGTGAGTTAAAATTTAACGTCACATCGGCAATATTTCAGCCATATCGTGACGAGAACAATTAATTTCCTACATAGTAAGTAATGGTAAACTGTAAAAACCTGTCAACGAAGGACAGTAAAATAACTAGATTATCACAGATTCGAAATTAAAACTAGTAATTAAATCTAAAACATTTCAACTATAGGGGACAGCACAATATAGAAATAGGCTATAGATCGGCAACAACTGAAGGTAGATCACCATACTAGGGACCATGGGGACTTACAGTACCTTTGCTACCCGCATGGACCCTAGTTGGATTTACACCCCTCCCTTCAGCCATTGGTGATTGAAGAGAAATCTAGCAATAAATTAAAAGCACACATATTCTACGATTAAAAAGGTGGCAAGTTTAAATTTACTTTAAATGTGTTGGGACTGTCAACTAATGAAGACATGTATCTGTCCACAAATATATAATAATATGCCTGTCAATGAATGACGTTTTGTTGGATTAAGAGTTGGATTAATATGCACACACATTAACACCTGATCAAACAAATACGATCCTGCGACCAGGAAGTAGCGTCGACGTATTCTAGCCCAACTCCTACCGAGAAACAATTCAGTGAGCGATAGCATGAGCACCATGCCGGCCTGTATAAATGCCATCTGTACAAGCACCTGCTGCGGATGTAACATCTAGCAAATCTGGTCCCGAATGCAATTATTTATACGGCAATGTTTACTGTGTCTTCTCCTGATCGTCTATACAAGCCCTGATTGCTTTCTTTCAGATTAACTGCGCGTTCCTTGTCAATATCATCCGTATTCTCATCACAAAGCTACGGGCAAACAACACGATAGAAACTGTTAGGATACGGTAAGTGCACCTCTGTCAAATCAGCTGAACTCATCTCGTCTATCCATGTCTAAGTTTTATGTATAATAAGTAAGTTTCCATCGTGATTGGACCCGTGAAGATCCGGGTAGAATAGATCTTCAGCAACCCATGCTTGTCACAGAAGGCGACTATGCTTGTCGTAAGAGGCGACTAATGGGATCGGGTGGTCAGGCTCGCTGGCTTGACACATGTCATCGGTTCCCAATTGCGCAGATCGATGTTCATGATGTTGATCACTGGATTGTCTGGTCCAGACTCGATTATTTACAGACCGCCGCCATATAGCAGGAATATTGCTGAGTGCGGCGTAAAACTAAACTCACTCACTCACTCCATCATGATTGAGTGAGTTTGGTTTTACGCCGCCTTTAGCAATATTCCAGTAATATCACGGCGGGGGACACCAGAAATGGGCTTCACACATTGTACCCATGTGGGGAATCGAACCCGGGGTCTTCGGCGTGACGAGCAAACGCTTTAACCACTAGGCTACACCACTGCCCCTGTGCTTGAGTGTGTAATATATCTAGATGTGAACACTCGCATTTGTCCCCGCATACCAATAACAACCTGTAGCCAATAACAAGTTTATTTGCTTTACACGTATAAAAATATACGAACAGAGCTTAAACTATTCAAACAAGTTACGCATCACCAATTATTTCATTACTGGAGATTACACAAAGAGCTAATCAGTAATCCCTAATGGATTAACAGTTACTCTGGATCCCATTCTTTCATATTACTAAGAATCATATTTCATTCAATAACAGATTAGGTATGATATCAGATGGTCCTTTACTTTTGTGGAGTAGTATATATGGAGAACGGGTCAATGTTGTGTTCCATTTCGTCATGTCCCTGTCTTCCATCACTCCTCAATACGGATGCTCAATTCCTGGAATCTGTTCCCCAAGAAACACTTGGCCAAACCGTGCTTTCATGTACATTTATTGTCACACGTGTAGTCATTGAAAGAATTGCTTGAAAGTGAAAAGCCCTGTCAGTTGCTACTCACTCCTGTTTTTATCGTACGTATTTTTTTGTTTAATTTCAGAAAAGCAATTAAGGCGACTGCCGTGCTTCTTCCTCTGCTTGGAATCATTAATATATTATTTCTACTGAAACCGGAGGAAAACGGGTCCCTAACTAAAGCCTATCGTGTTATAAATGCCGTTCTTCCAGCTTGTCAGGTAAGAGTTACTCCCCTTACCCTATGCTGTCTGCCCCCACAAATGTGTGACACGTTAGAGGTTGTGGTTGAGGATGAGTGTGTGTGCCTTCACGAGAGATTGAACCAGATTGTACTTAATGAGTTCATAATGATAGAGCAATAATCAGGTAACATTTACAGAGCGTTAAACCAATGGACGAGGTGTTGCTTCACCAGGGATTGAAGCTTATGGTAATTAAAGGGTGGCTCTTGGTGGAGGAATGTTCCATGGTGGTAATTAAAGGGTGGTTCTTGGAGGAGGGATGTTCCATGGATTGAACCTTATGGTAATTAAAGGAAGTTCTTGGCGGAGGTAATTAAATGTTCCATGGATTGAACCTTATGGTAATTAAAGGGTGGTTCTTGGCGGAGGAATGTTCCACTGATTGAACCTTATGGTAATTAAAGGGTAGTTCTTGGCGGAGGAATGTTCCATGGATTGAACCTTATGGTAATTAAAGGGTGGTTCTTGGCGGAGGAATGTTCCATGGATTGAACCTTATGGTAATTAAAGGGTGGTTCTTGGCGGAGGAATGTTCCATGGATTGAACCTTATGGTAATTAAAGGGCGGTTCTTGGCGGAGGAATGTTCCATGGATTGAACCTTATGGTAATTAAAGGGTGGTTCTTGGCGGAGGAATGTTCCACTGATTGAACCTTATGGTAATTAAATGGTAGTTCTTGACGGAGGAATGTTCCATGGATTGAACCTTATGGTAATTAAAGGGTAGTTCTTGGCGGAGGAATGTTCCACTGATTGAACCTTATGGTAATTAAAGGGTGGTTCTTGGCGGAGGGATGTTCCACTGATTGAACCTTATGGTAATTAAAGGGTAGTTCTTGGTGGAGGAATGTTCCATGGATTGAACCTTATGGTAATTATAGGGTGGTTCTTGGTGGAGGAATGTTCCATGGATTGAACCTTATGGTAATTAAAGGGTGGTTCTTGGTGGAGGAATGTTCCATGGATTGAACCTTATGGTAATTAAAGGGTGGTTCTTGGCGGAGGATTGAACCTTATGTTCCATGGATTGAACCTTATGGTAATTAAAGGGTGGTTCTTGGTGGAGGAATGTTCCATGGATTGAACCTTATGGTAATTAAAGGGTGGTTCTTGGCGGAGGAATGTTCCATGGATTGAACCTTATGGTAATTAAAGGGTAGTTCTTGGTGGAGGGATGAGGTGTTCCTGCTCCACAAAGCAAATCAGATGTAGTATTTAAAGAACGGTTGGTTGTCGGAAAATAGGAGGATCTTTCACCAGATATTAAAACTGTTGTCCTTTAACGAGTGGTCAGTGGTCGCGAAATGAGAATTTCATTCACCAAATGACACTGATTCTTACAAAAGACGCCTAAACAATGATACTTCAAGCAATAAAAATTGACTTTTGTAAAAAGTGCACATGACCGTACAAGGACTAATGTGCTGTTTTCTCTTGCAGGGTATTTTTATATCTCTACTCTACTGCTTCATGAATAGTGAGGTGAGTCTCTGAATCCATTGTTTTTGCAATTCGACATAACCGCCTTGCATAGGTACACCTGCCATGATGACGATCACCATCATAATTATCATGATAAACTGTTTAAATGGCGGTATACTGACAATGCATGTACCAGCTATACATACCCATATAGTGATCTCAGGCGTCGAATTTTGCTTTGCGGTGTTGTGTCTCTTAGATGTGCCAGGATCCGAATGCCATTGGTTCGAATTCCAGAAAGTACCAAAAAGTACCAGATTCGCATAATTATATTGCAACCACAGATGTGCGACGGACATCAAACATTGACTTTGTAACACTGTTTCGTACCAGGGTGTGACGAGCTAGAGATTTAAACGATTTCAGTGACCTTCCATCCACGTTGATTTAATTTTTTGTTTCTAGGCCGTATTTACCAATGTTGCAGAAATATATGACGGCAGTCATAATCTGAACCAGATTATCTAGTGAATAATACTGTGAGTCCACCAGGTGCCTGTGCCTGACCACCCTCTGTTTGTCAATTAGTATCAGCAGAGGCCTCTGCTGACCAGTTCAAACCCGGGTTCCACATGATGGCGTGATATCTCAATTGGCTAAGGAGCAGAAAGTGAGAACCAGTGACCAGGGCATCTCCTGCGTATTGTTCTATGTAACCATGACAATAGCCGTTCAATATTCACAGGATATCGCTGCTCAAAGCATGCAAAATAGATTCCGACGACTGCGATCATAAGCGTTTGTTTATGAATCACCATTACATTGTCATGATTCCGGGCATCCACGAACAAGTGAGCGTATCCTGCCCCACCGATTGTTGCCCCACAAACACATGCAAAGGCGAATCAATTGTTCACTTTAAAACATCCAGCCAGGGACAAAACGTAGACTACTGTCGTCCTCAACGTGATTGTTGGTTGGTTGGTTTGCTGTTTAACGCCGCTCTCAGCAATGTTCCACCTATTTGACGGCGTTCTGTAAACAATCCCATAATTAACAGCATGAGCGTCGATCTAGGCAATTAGGCTACGATAACATGCATCAACCAAGTCAGCGAGCCTGACCACCCGATCCCGTTAGTCACCTCATACAACAAGCATGGTTGCTGAAGACCAATTCTAACCCGGATCTTCACGGGTTGCAATGCAATTAATTATAGATGTTGTATCATCAGTTATGACGCTAGCATGGAAACAAACTGCTGACATCAGTACATATGCGTATTCCGTCTTTCAGGTTCGTGGTGTGATAAAGAAGAAGTGGTACCGTTTCCGGTTGAGCCGCTCGATGAATGCGCGCGCACGTCGACGCAACTCCCGGACATCGTCGTTCTTCCTGTCCCAAAGCGAGGTAGTGTTCATGGTTTCCTTCAGGAATAAAAAGATCTGGAACAAGCGCGCACCACCTGCACGTGATTACACGATCACAGAGGCTGACAACAGCATGCGATGCACGTGCTTGTGTGACGAGTGTGACTGTTCTGATTGCTCGAAAAAGCACCAGTTTGACTAATGACAAACGCAGGCTTATATTAACTCTCCTCTGTTGCTTGGTGTAGACACTGTGTAGACTCATACCCTCTCTGGACTGCATATTGGACTCATCCTCTTTCTCTCTTACCATCCTGCTTGTGGACCAGCCGCTGTAAGGATGATAGTGTGTGTAGTATGGCGGGAGTATGTCTTATATTTTATATGTTTTGTGCTGAGTTTTGTGTTTTCGGCTGAACAGTATTTTAATAAACTCGTTTTGGCTGTGAATATAGAATGTGCCTGTTTTTGACCACTTGGACCTCACTTAGATTGAAGATACATATTTAGTTTGTATTTTTTTTATTTCCAAGATTTGTATCCCGTTCTTGAAACTCGATATATCATGAACCCAAAGGCATGTTTCATAAACATGTGTATTTTGAAGTTTATTAATGAGGATCTGAAGTTGCCCTTTTTAAAAACATATCAGGTATTACTAAAATTGACTGTCTCTGAACAAAATCGTAGTGAACGTCAAAAACGTATTCGCGATAAGGAGTTGCTCCCCCAGTCCACTAAGAACCCCCATCACCACCATCTCCAACCCACACGCCATCCTTCACCCCACCACACTCCCACCTCAATCCATCTTGTTGTAACCTACTAACCCCTCGGGCGATGGGGTAGCCTTCTTTTGTCCCCCGTGATATTGATGGAATATTGCTAAAAGCAACGTAAAACTAAACTCACTCACTCACTAACCCTTCACACATTTCGGGGTTTAAAGTCCATCTTGAAGTAGTTGTACCATTTACACCTTCACCATTCGCCGAACGCACATATTGCCCACTGGACACTACGTTCAAAATACTTAATGCACGCCTATGATGGATAAAAACCAGGGACTATTTTCACAAAGCGATCTTAGCGCTAAGGTGATCTTAGCTCCCATATTTAACATTGGCCTACAATCGTAGACACGCTGAAATCGCTTTGTGAAACAGAATAATCCAGGCTCTTGTAGGGTCACAATTCACCGTGCACACGTATCATTGAATACAAACTAGAATACACAGTTGAATTGTACATTCAGTTCAAAATCAAGATTCAGTTCCAGGAAGAAAGAAGATGTCAGTGGCCAGATGCAAAAGTCGATCTTAGCACTAAGACTGCCCCAAATGAACCGAAAATGTGGCAATCGTGACAGTTCTTTCTAGAATGGGCCATTTAACCACTGCTTTGCACACTAACAAGCTTATTACTGGCTTCCTGGCTTCCTGGCTTCTTTCCCCGTGCTTCCGTATATCCATCTTCCTATGCCTTCAATATATACTGAACAAAATAGATTAGGGATCATGACTATTTTGGGAAGGTTTTTTTAGGTTGGTTGGTTTGTTGTTTAACGCCGCACTCAGCAATAGTCCAGCTATATGGCGGCGGTCTGTAAAAATCGAGTCTTGGCCAGACAATCCAGTGATCAACAGCATGAGCATCGATCTACGCAATTGGGATGCGATGACATGTGACAACCAAGTCAGCGAGCCTGACCACCCGATCCCGTTTTCGCCTCTTATGACAAGCATGGGTTACTGAAGACCAATTCTTACCCGGATCTTCACGGGTAGAGGTTTTTAGGAGATTGAACACACAATAAGATTCAAATATTCAAAAACATATTCATGATTCCTAACTATGTTTGTTCAGTATATATACATCTCCGATCATACAGGGTACAATATCTCAATTCTCTTACCATATGTTTCTGGACCAATTTACTGATGTATTCGAATAGCACAACGCTACAAATTACATCCAGTCTAATTACTCTTACTAGTGAGAGACCTTTTGTGCGACGTTTATGATTGGAGCACGGAGGGGATGACGTCACTTCCGGTGCTATTGTGGCGAATGGGTCCAGGGTGTTTAACAAGACAGAATCGCGATATTATTCCCTGGATAAGTCAGGATGGGAAACGCTTTTTATGGTTTCAGATTGCCTTTCGTTAAGAACAAACGTATATTATAGTAGACAGCTGTTGTTAAATTGATGGCTGTTTCATATTACTCAACGTTTGATAGGAAATATATATATTTTCTATATGCGCTTCACATATTGTGAGATTCAGATTCGTGCATCATGGAAAGAGGAGTTAGTTTAGTTTTACGCCGCTTTTAGCAATATTCCAGCTATATCACGGCGGGGGACACCAGAAATGGGCTTTACATATTGTACCTATGTGGGGATCGAACCCGGGTCTTCGGCGTGACGAGCGAACGCTTTAACCACTAGGCTACCCCACCGCCCCTCATCATTGATAGATATAAATATTCCCATCAATAGTAAGTAGCATAGTTTAAAGTTTATTTGAAAAAAAATGTTTTAAATATTTTAAAGTAATAAACAATTTAGCCATAATGTATCTCGAAATTAAACTATAATTGTTTAAAATCCGGCTTGGTAGATTTAAAATGTGTTCTCTTAGTGATAAGCTTTGATATAACATTTAACACATGAAGAAATGTTCATTGAAACTCGTTGTACTGAATGAAATATTATTATGGTACCAAAACATCCCATATGCCTCACTGCAGCGGTGAAAAGGACGGTGACGTGGTCTAGTTGTTGAATGTTTGCACGTCACAAGTCTCATCTACCAAGCTTTAATGCTTAATATTGGGACAATCTCTGGAACCGTTTCTTGGTGGTCAACGCTGTGATATTCCTGGATTTTTGCGGGAAGTGACGTCCATTACACTTGGTCATTGGGAATGGCAAATGTGTACATAAGCAAAAAGATCTCATCTATTTTGACCAGTATGGTTTGGTATCATCGTTTGTTTGCTGTTGCTGTTGTTGTTGTTGTTGTTGTTATTGTTGTTGTTATGTTGTTGCTGTTTTTGGTGGTGGTAGTTTGGTTTATTGTTTTTTTCTTGTTTTTTTTTTTTTGGTTTTGTTTTGGTTTGTTGTGGGTTTTTCTTTGTTTTGTCTTTTTGTGTAGTTGGTTTGGATTTTTAGCTTTTTCTATTATTTCTTCACCTGAGAAACAGATAGTCAAACGTTATCACACCTGTACATGCAATCCTCCTTCCTCCTTGCAGTCCTCGTGCTAGTATACCAGGGTTGATTGATAAGCTCTGAATCTCACATGGAAAGAATTGCGTAAGGGTGAATTTTGTGGACATTACATGAGGTCTGAAACAAAAACTTGAATCAACAGAGTAAAATGTTTCGATGTGACAATTCAGTAAAGTAACTGATCTTGGAAAATGGAAAACTTTGAGGATCATGCAGTGATTAGTACTTGGAGAAAAAGAGATTAACACCACAATCCATTTTTTGTTTGTTATTTGTTTAACGCCGCACTCAGTAATATCCCAGCTATATGGCGGCGGTCTGTAACTAATCGAATCTGGACCAGACAATCCAGTGATCAACCTACGATGGTATAAGTACACTTAGGGAGGATACCACGGCCAACGTTGTGGGCAGCCTAGGTCTTATCAACCAACATAAAGCCACATTAAATCAAATCAAATTAAAATTGTATAAAACGAGGTAGATACTCTTGGGTTTATGTGTTATTCAGCATGCAACAGATCTTTCATATTTATCGCTGGCATTTATTATCTTTCTTAGTTACACTTCATCAATCTTCTCGTTAGTTCTACAAGCTTGTCGTAAGAGGAAACTAACGGGATCGGGTGGTCAGGCTCGCTGATTTGGTTGACACATGTCATCGTATCCCGTATTTACAGACCGCCGCTATATAACTTAAAAATTGCTGAGTGCAGCGTTAAACAACCAACCAACGTTAGTTTTATATGGATTTTGATTCCAAAACAATATGTGTTATAAAAAATGGTAAATTGTATCTGCGCGACAAACCTCATTACGCGCTTGACTTGACTGTCTTTCAAATCTCTCCTGCTTTCAGAGTCAGTTTTCCAAAACTATGCATTAAACATCGGTATCTGCTTGGAGACTGGAGAAATGTTATGCACAATATGTTATGTATTCTGTTGTCATCGCCTGTTTTCATGCTTCATCGGGTTGTTTCAGCTCATTCACCAATAGGGGCGGCGGGGTAGCCTAGTGGTTAAGCGTTCGCTCGTCACGCCGAAGACCTGGGTTCGATTCTCCACTTTGGTACAATGTGTGAAGCCCATTTCTGGTGTCCCCGTCGTAATATTGCTGGAATATTAAAATCGGCGTAAAAATAGACTCACTCACCCATTCAATCATCAATAGTCTCGTTATTCCAGCCTTCCTGTTAGTGAAATGTTGAAAACCACTAATGAGTGTTGAGTACAAACATGTTCGAAAACAAAACAGCTTCTGCTCTACTATATTTTAATTGTCATGTTCGATGCATCCTCGATCATACACCCCGGGAACTAGAGACACCATCGGTGTTTGATACCAGTATTTATCGAAACAGCATTTTGGAGACGGAGATGGGGGGAGAATAATGTATTTGTTACAACAATAATAATTTGTTACCCCCATCGCAAAAACATCTTCCACGACTTCAAACAATTCAAAATATGTACGATTCTTAACAAGTAAAGGATCCCTTAATCTTTCATAAAACAATACTTAAAAATTATATGTCATTAATATTTGTCTGTGTGTAGGTGATCCTTAAGTTCTTTTGGCTAGTATATATCTAGGTGTTAGGATCCAACGTTCTCTGTGAAGGTGATCCTTAAGTTCTCTTGGCTAGTATATATCTAGGTGTTAGGATCCAACGTTCTCTGTACAGGTGACTCTTAAGTCTTTTTGACTTAAGTCTAGTATATATTAAGATGTGAAGACCCAACGTTCTCTGTAATGAAAGTTAATGATCATCAGATGAAAACCGTCAAATACCACGTGGACCAGCAAGACATGATACATGATCTAAAACAACGAATCTCAAGCCAAGAAGAAACACAATTCTACGCCTCGTGTGAAATTGTTATCATATGAACCTTTCTTGCTCTCGGATATCCTCAGACTCTATTGATTCCAACTTCTTTTACATTATATATCGGAAGACCAACAGAAAGACAATTCTGGTTGGCAACCGAAACCAACCCGTACTTATGACCGGAGTTTATAATCGAAAATGTATTGATGAAATTTGTTGCAAATGGCGGCCGTCCATTTCCGACTTCAAGTCCTTCCGTCCGATCAACGATCCACTCGAGACTTACCCAAATTCGTTTTATTTGCTCATTAAACTTTTGTACAAAGAGGAAATTAACCGAGGCACGGGAGACTGGTGTAAGAAGGTGTATAATCGTTAATTTCACTTAGCAATACGTATAGATCCGAAGGGCCAGTCACTGTCTGGCTTTGTGGAGCTAGTTCAAGTGTTTACTGAAGGTCGGATTGAAAGAGGTTTCATGACTTGGGTTGTCATTTAAATCTGGCCAAACACGACAGAAAACAAACTAGTAGCGGGGAAATGACAGGGACCGTTCAGATGGGATGGGGAAATAGATTCAAAACAACGTCGGGTTGTTTATTTTTTTAACTTTGTATTTTCAAGTATTTTGTTTGCACTCATAATTCAGTAATTCTGATATAGTTTAAACTGCTGATGCAAAGTCTCGAGTACGTGAGTGAGTAGGGGTTTACGCCGCTATAAGCAATATTCCTGCAATATCACGGCTGGGAACAGCAGAGTGAGTAAGTGAGTGAGTTTAGTTTTACGCCGCACTCAGCAATATTCCAGCTATATGAAGGCGGTCTGTAAATAACTGAGTCTGGACCAGACAATCCAGTGATCAACAGCATGAGCATAGGTCTACGCATTTGGGAACCGATGACATGTATCAACCAAGTCAGCAAGCCTGACCACCCGATCCCTTTAGTCGCCTCCTACGACAAGCATGGGTTGCTGAAGATCAATTCTAACACGGACCTTCACGGGTGGGGGACACCAGAAATGGGCTTCACACATTGTACCCATGTTGGGACTCGAACTCGTGTCTTCAGCGTGAAGAGCATACTCTTTAACCATTAGACCACCCCACCGCCCCTGAAAAGTCTCGTTGCAAAGGTCCCAAAGACAACTTCTGCATGATATTAGGATTATTGCTGAAATATTTCTAAAAGCGGCGTAAAACTAAACTCACTCACTCACTCCAGACTAAATAATCCAGCGATCTTGTTTTGACTCATTTAAGTTTCACATAGTTTCGTTTCATGATGAATATCATTGATCGTCCACGTCGACGACGATTCATCTGCGTCGTTGTCAACACCAGCACAATTACTATAATTGCGGACATCGTTACCCGCAGCCAATGTGGGTTCCACATCAAAATAGACCCGTTGATTGTCGTAAAAGTCGACTGACGAGCATCGACTGGTCAGCTACGATGGCTGTGTACCGCTGTTGTCGCCGTCGTAGAACACTGCTCCACTGTTGTCGCCGTCGTTAGTGGGACATTGCGATCATGATACTGCTCATAATGTCACCCCTGGTTTGTCTGACCCAGACAGCCTGCCTTGTAATATGGTTGGCAGTGGATAAAAAAAATAGATTTTTACCATCCCCCATCATCATCATAAGCATCATCATCGCCGTCATCAACATCACCATCGTCATCATTATCATCATCTCTAACTCACATGTGACAAATATAACTAAGTATATTTTCTAGAAATCATAATCATCATAAGTGCCTTTCATGAATTTACTATTTACGTCATAATTTCAGAGTGCCACGTCACCTCTCGGCAAGACGACGCCGCTCTGACGTCTGGTTCAGAGTAGAATCACACCAGTAATCACTGATCGCACAAAATGTCTTTGCATGAAAGGCCCGGTGAGTGTTCCAGTGATTGGTCAAATTCTCACCGGCATTGACCAATCAGAACAGACTAACTTCCTCGATGGCTACATTCACTCGAAAGATGGAATGATTGGTCGAAAGCTCACCTATATCGTCCAATCAGAACAGAATAACTCCCTCAATGGCTACATTCACAAGGAAGATGGAATAACTGGCCAAATGCTCACCGGTATCGACCAATCCGAAGCCAGAGGCTACTTACACTTGAAACCTCATTGACCACAGGATAAAGTCAGAAATGTTTCAAATATGTCAAAGAATTCATGATTGGTCCTGTGTAGAGGACAAAAGGGAGCAGACTCCGTGCACACGTCGTTGATTGAACATCTGATACCCCTGACATATGTCGTGCAATTTCAACTCTCAACCAACCAGTGACAAATATTTCTGAAGAGGACAATGGTGCCCATTGATAGTGTGACTGCAGATCCCGCTGGAAACACTCGTAAAATATCAAATTGTAACAGGGCACATCCGGGATGGTGTTGGCAACTGGTCAGTGAGTGAGTATGGTTTTACGCCGCTTTTAGCAATATTCCGGCAATATCACGGCGTGCGACACCAGAAATGCCATTTGACATTTGCCAGACACCTCGTCTTTGCCCATAACCAAGAATTCAGGTTCACTGTGACATATATATTCAGAGTGAGTCAGTTTAGTTTTACGCCGCACTCAGCAATATTCCAGCTGTGTGGAGGCGGTCTGTAAATAATTGAGTCTGGACCAGACAATCCAGTTATCAACAGCATTAGCATCGATCTACTCAATCGGGAATACGATGACATGTGTCGACCAAGTCAGCGAGCCTGACCACCTGATCCCGTAAGTCGCCATTACGACAAGCATGGGTTGCTGAAGACCAATTCTATTCCGGGTCTTCGGGGGTAATATATTCAGAATCTACATGTGCTCGTGGGGTTTGACAATGTGGTGAACGTCAAACACCAGCATCATTTTGGGCTTTAATCCAAAATAAAGGTGACAGGACGTGACACTACTGAAATACCGTTCAAAGCAGCGTTACTCCCAACACTATTTGCTCAGCTATACTACGTGTATCTTAGTTTTCAAAGGTCCTGTATCGAGTATCGCTGCAACAGTAGTTTTACGTTAATCTGTGTGATTTATGATTGTCCTCTCACTAAGATCGCTTTATGAAGCGGGACCTGCACACCACACTGAATCCGTTACTGCATTTACAGTGAGTGTGTGAGTGAGTGGGTGAGGTGGATGGGTGAGTCGGTGAGTGAGGTTTAACGCCGCTTTTAGCAATATTCCAGCAATATCACGACGGGGGACACCAGAAATGGTTCAGTTGCAGAAACAGGATGGCCACGTTCATCACTGCATGCAGTAATGTCGGCATTCGGAATAACTCGTATCGTTCCGACGAGCTGAATGACAATCTTGAAATGAGTAAAATCACGGGAAGCTCGACATAATATGTCCTGGAAAGGAAAATAAGATAAGAAGGATATTTTGTCTCTGGACATTTTGTCTATAGTGATATCACAAGATTAAGTGGACACGAACTATTTAACTAAGTACCACATACCAATTTTTTTGTGCCGTTTTACATACTGCCAGCTGGTTGGCTTTGTTCTTCGATTGGTATGTTTCGGCCACTCCCGAACACATAAATACCTCGGTTATTATCACCAGTTGTTGCTATCATGATTTGGTTGTAAATAAATGTAAAACTAACACGAGATCGAAGGTAGTTCTGTTTTCATTACAGGTATTCTAAGTGGAGGTGTTATTTTTGGTTTGTTTGTTTCTTTTTTATTATTAATGTTTTTGTTTTGGTGTTTGCTTTTTGTTGTTGTTGTTTTGTTTGTTTTGTTTTTTGGGGTGCTTTTGGTTGTTGGTTTTTTTTGTCATTGTGTTTTTCTATGTTTTTTTATTAGTTTGTTGTTTTGGGTTTGGTTTTTGTTGTTGTTGTTTTTGGTTTTTTTTGTGAGATGGGGTGTTTTTGTTTTGTTGAGTCTTTTTGTTTTTGGAGGATTTCTGGGTGGGGTTGTTTTGGTTCCATTTTTGTGTTTTGTTTCAAAAGGTAAAAACAACAATTGTTCAATTGCGGCATAGTGCCATAAGAACAGCCTCAGTTAACAGCGATGTAATATCGCCATATGTCATTATTATCAATACCTTGCACGTCTATATTCTACAAGTTCACATTCATGTAATTACTCGAGACACCACATCTACAAAGGTGGTCAATAACACCTGGAGGTTCACTTAATTGCATAATTAACTCTGATTTGATTTGGATGTTTCTCTGATGGACAGGTGAGCCGTTCATCTGTAAGGGTGTCACACTATATATTATTGAACACAGGCCAAAACGGAACACCCTCTATAACAAATCACCCACAAATCGGAACACCCTCTACAAGAAATCACCCAGTATTATTGAACACCTGCCAAAACGGAATACCCCATATACGAAATCACCCACTATTATTGAACACCTGCCAAAACGGAACACCCCCTATAACAAATCACCCACTATCATTGAACACATGCCAAAACGGAACACCCTCTATAACAAATCACCCACAAATCGGAACACCCTCTACAAGAAATCACCCAGTATTATTGAACACCTGCCAAAACGGAATACCCCATATACGAAATCACCCACTATTATTGAACACATGCTAAAATGGAACACCCTCTACAACAAATCACCCACTGTTATTGAACACATGCCAAAACGGAACACCCTCAGCGACAATTCACCATTACTTACAGGGGCGTACCTACCATTATTTAAAAAAGCCCGGGCTTAAACATAATTCTTAATAAAAAGGTTGGGCAAGTCCTCAATACTATCTAAGTACAAAGCTTTGCAACCTATCGGGCTTTACACGAAAACTTTGGGTTGCTACGCGCCTGACTGAGCATCTGTCACAACTGAAGGTTTTCACGGGCAGTTTCTACAACAAGGCATCTTAGAGTACCGGTCTATTGGAGGGACGTTGTATTTTGCAGCATTTGAATAGCCGATTTCACTACAGTTCAATAAAACGTATCATACTCCAACCTGAACCAACTCAAATTGAGAAATGGCGATATATAAAATTAAAACAGTAAACTACGGTTATGACGGACTCGTTCGTTACCATCGTAGTTAGTTATATGCATTTCAACTATAATATAAGTGCCAGGGAAATCAAAACAGTTCGTTTAATCCGCCAGTTCATTAGAAGCGTGTTAATCAATGCCGTTTTGTGTTGTAGATGGCTTTGAGTGAGACTTTCATATCTCGAACTTCACTCAGCCTACATATTGCATAAGACGAAGTACCGAAAAGATTCGAATATATGCTGCTTTAATGATATATTCGACACGTTGACGTGTTCTGTGTCGGGACAGAGTTAGTGAGTGAGTGTTGTTTTACGCCGCTTTTAGCAATATTCAAGCAATATCACGGCGAAGGACACAAAAAATATGCTTCACACATTATACCCATGTGGATAATCGAGCCTGTACCTTCAGCGTGACAGGCGGACGCTTTAACCATTTGGCTACCCCACTACCCCTGAAAGTTAGTGGGCTACGCTCCCAGCCCCGCCCAAACGAGATACTTATTAAGGAAAAGATGAAGAGTGTGAGGATGAGGAAAGCAAGGGAGATAATGCTGGCCACGAAGTAGATGTCCCTCAGAATCTCCGCCAGACGCACCTGCAACACGAAAGGACTTAACTCAGTATTGATGCGTAATTCAGTTGCATCTCGATGCGTCGGCTTGAATGAAAGCCTAAAATGACACAACGGCAGAAGCCTACTATTCAGTGAAACTCAAAACAGGAACATAGACGAAGGACCGTCATATTGGACAATGCGAGATTCGAACCAGTGGATGCGGATCTTGGCAATAATAAGGCAAGCTACAAAGCCAGTTTGGACGCCACCGACAGCTTGGTTACTCGTTCCCTGTGTGTCCAAAGCACCCAAAGCCTTAAGAATATTGAGCTTGACAGTGTAAATGTCAATACAATTGGTATTTAACAGTCATTTTATGGACAACAACACAACAAGATGAATGCCAGGTGATAAGTTTGTATTCAAAGCTACGCGTCATCCTATCATTCACTTAGTAAGAAAGCTGTTACACGACACTGCCTTGGTCCAACATCTATTGTGTCTGTTGTGATAATAACGATTGTTCGCTGCATGCAAATCAGCTGAAGATCTGACATTAGAATGTCCACATGGAAATATGTCGCTATGCACCGTGTCCTTCTGTCGCCGTGTGTGCGCCATCTGGCGGGGAACGTGGTACTGTGATCATGCCTTCTTCTGTTTAATTACTGTATGACAATATGGCTTCGTTTACCGTACTTACTACGCTCCAAAGGTATTTATCGGGGGTTTATTTTGTTGTTGTTTTTATTTAGTTTGGGTGATTGCTAGGGTTATTGTTTTATTTTCCTTTTATTTTAGTGTTGTTGCCATTGTTTTGTTCATTTTGATGTTGTTTGTATGTTTCAGTTTTTATCGTTGTTTTTTTTGGTTTTGTGTTGTTTGCAGGGGGCTTTGGTTTGTTGGGTTTTTTTTGGGGGGGGCTTTTGTTTTGTTTTTGATTTTGTTTTTTGTTTATTTATTATTTTGTTGTTTTTGGTTTTTGGTTGTTTTTTTGTTGTTGTTTTGTTTTGGTTTGTTTGGATTTGTTTTGGGGTTTTTTGTTTGGGTTTTTTGTTGTTGGTTTTGTTTGGGTTTTTTTTTGGGAGGGGGGTAGTTTGGGTTTTTGTTTGTGTGGGTCGGGGAATAAATGTTTTTTATTAAAACGGATGAACTTTAATGGGAGTTGATCTATTCCAACTTTGCTAGTTTCATCACTGGTCATGGAGAATGAACATCACATATAATATCACCTTTTATGAATTTTAACCGACCCTTTATCGTAGCTATCCCGTAGCTTCTATGGGACAGGGAGGGGTAGAGGCGTAGCTTTAACCACTAGACTTCACATATCAATACATGAGGGATATCTCCCCACTCCTTAGCCCTAGTGGGGCGGTGGATAGCCTAGTGGTCAAAACGTTCGCTCGTCACGCCGAAGGCCAGGGTTCGATTCCCCAAAGGCCAGGGTTCGATTCCCCACATGGGTACACTGTGTGAAGCCCATTTCTGGTGTCCCTCGACGTGATATTGCTGGAATATTGCTAAAAGTGGCGTATGACCATACTTACTCACTCAAACACTCATGAGTGTGGGTTTGCTGAAACCCCGTGGCATGGTTACGACAAAATTAGAAACATAATCAGGACAAACCTGGATTCGAACCTCGCAACTCAAATTGAGGCGCCTTTCACGACACGACGTCCACTCCGCAGAACGCCCAGTGTTCCCTGCCCATTCATCTCCATACATTCATCAAGTAAGTGGTCACGTCAGCAAGAGTTGTCACATGTGCGCTTTGTTGATGATGACGCAAGCCGTCGCGTGTCCAGAGACCACGTTTATGGAACCAACAGCTGTTGCTGTGTAATATATCTCGATTCTGTCATGCTGAATCAATGACAACAATAAAGGGGCGCCATATTTGTGAAGTGTACGGTAAACCGGGGAATCTATACTTTAAATGTTCAATAGATGTGCAGGGAGTATGAGAAGGTTGGACGTTGGTGATTTGTTTATATGAGAGCCTGCATCTTCAACCATGATGTTGAACCTCCTAATTGCTGTACATTGTACAGCTCCACGTTGTCACATGTAAACCATTACACGGTATGTCACTTAAACACGATATTTTACAACGTGGATGAAGAATTTCAATCAATATCTGTTGCCGGTCTAATTCTGCTTGAATTAAACTCGTGTCTGCTATATGGAAATCAGTCACAGAATCGTTGATCCGAGTTTGAAAATCCGAAATTTTGACTGTGTTTCTTCCGTTACATTGAATTTCCAAGATGGCGATTTCGGGGAGATTTTTGTACATGGTTATCCTGCCACTGCTGTTGTCGGTGATCGTCCTCGGTGTCGTTCTGAGCGTCACGAACAACGTGTGGGACTCTATTGTTGGCACAACTGAGCGGGAGAAGAGGTTTCTCGAGTATCAGCGGAGTGCTGGTGCCAGGAATGGCCCAGGGGAACAGGGAGAGCCGTATCACCCCCCGGGGAATACCTTCGAAAACAAAGGAATTGTAAACCTCCTGGCTAGTGACGCCATTGCTGTGGACCGGACCATTAAGGACTTCCGGCATGAGAGGTGAGATATCTTTATTATCCATCGGATGAGGAGAGAAATGGTGAGATATACTGAACAAAAAAAAGAAACTTACCATTTAGAGAAAAGCATTATATTGAAAATGTGTAATACAGGGTAGTTAATATGGGCGATGTATATTTGGGACATAAAGTAACATATGTAAGGTTTCTTTTTGTGTTGAGGATATTTCTTCCATACGTCACGTCACAACCTTGACCTTCGTTTTGACTGGATAACCATGACCTTGCCAAAATCAGACATAAACGCTCTCGCTGGAACACTGTTTATCTGGATCTACGTTTTATTACTTAACCATGTGATAGTGTTCGATTTACGCTTATAGTACTTCAACATGAAACCAGCAAGCATCTATGCTATTAACAATTGTATTATAAAATTACCAAGGTTTACAAATCAATACAAATTTCTGCAATACTCAATAGTGTGCAGTACAAAATCCAACGGCAGTAATAAAACATAATAACAGTGTTTATAAGGTCAGAGATAATATTCGCCAAGCGTTCGTAGCTCTGCGTCATTCGTAATCCTATAACAGACTATACAGTTACGATAGCTCGCAACGCTACGAGCACTTAGTGGATCGGAACCCAGGATCAGTTGTCCAGCTTCCATAACCAGAGAGAGATTATGATATTGATTTTATGTGAGAAGATATGCTTGCCCCTTTCTATGGTCTTAAAAACTTTAGAAATTACGCTTCCATTTAACAAAAGACGTATTACAAATTGTCAATAAAATTATCCGTTTGCTGTGATTTTATGTGAGAAGATATGCTTGCCCCTTTCTATGGTCTTAAAAACTTTAGAAATTACGCTTCCATTTAACAAAAGACGTATTACAAATTGTCAATAAAATTATCCGTTTGCTGTGATTTTATGTGAGAAGATATGCTTGCCCCTTTCTATGGTCTTAAAAACTTTAGAAATTACGCTTCCATTTAACAAAAGACGTATTACAAATTGTCAATAAAAATTATCCGTTTGCTGTGATTTTATGTGAGAAGATATGCTTGCCCCTTTCTATGGTCTTAAAAACTTTAGAAATTACGCTTCCATTTAACAAAAGATGTAATACAAATTGTCAATAAAAATTTATCCGTTTGCTGTGTACAAATTTATTACAGATATTTTTGTGTGTGTGTGTGTGTGTGTGTGTGTGTGTGTGTGTGTGTGTGTGTGTGTGTGTGTGTGTGTGTGTGTGTGTGTGTGTGTGTGTGTGTGTGAGGTAGTCTAGTGGTTAAATCGTTCGCTCGTCACGCTTAAGACCCGGTTTCGATTCCCCACATGTGTGCAATGTGTGAATCCCATTTCTGGTGTCCCCTGCCTTAACATGGTAAATTGCTGAAATCTTGCTAAAAGCGCTATAAACTAACTCACTCACTAACTACAGATACAGACCAGTGCCTGTGAGCGCCATGCAACCAACAATCTTTTAAAGATAATACCCAAAGTATCAATTACAAAAGGTTCTGTGCGGTAAATGAAACTACATATCTCGACAGGTATCTAGAATTACGTTTGTTGGCGCGGCTGTGACATAGGTATTGATTTCAAAGATAATGAGTGGCAGTTTCCGAACATGTTTGTGCATATACGCACGACCACATCACTCAGAAGGAATATTACCGGCACAAAGTACACGAAAACGCAGTGGAACTGTGCCTGGTTTCTGAATGTGTGACCCCAAACATCCAAAATGTGAACAATAACACGGCGCATTGATCTCCAGCCTTAGGCGTGGAGACCATTGCTGTCTTTTCTTATTCTGCCGGTGACCTTGACCTCCGAAGCTGACACTAATTATCATATCAGTCGTTTATGTTTTCGCTTATTTCAGTATGATGTCGTACAGTAAACATGAACTCCGATCCATTGATTTCCTTTTACCAAAATGGTAGGCACAGGAAGTAAATTCAGCTGATAGATCAAGGAATCCGAACTACTTTGTTTGCGCAGAAGGGATACGGTCAGCGTGAGTACCCAGCTGACGGCTTTAGGTCCGAAGTTGAAAGAGCGTCGATGATTGACTTTTAATTGCTCTGCTTACTAACAACTATCTCTTGAATAACCATTCGGAGAAGACATTTTCAACTTAAAAAGGATCGTTAGGTTAGCTGTTGTAATGTTTGCACACACAACAGTAGGAACTCTTTATTGAGGCGTATGAAAAGAAATGCGCGAATTGATTTGGGATTGGTTTCGTATTGTGCTGTTAAGAGAATCAGGTTTCATTTACTGTAAAACAGGTTGAATTTTGCTGGTAATGATAAAAATACTACTTTCGTTCTCGTCAGAAAGCATATTTAGAACACGCACAGGTAAAGGAACAAAAAGTGTCATCTATTTTTTTAATTACAATTTTAAATGTAGGGGCTAACTAATTTTCTACTTTTAAGATACATTTCTTTCTCTGAAGCGTAAAGCCGAAATATATTCGAAATTTCAGAATATCAAGCATGTCCCAAACAATTACCGTATTTATTTTTTTTATTCTAGTTTTTTTTTATCGATTTTGTTATAACACAAGCCCGCATCTCCCAACTCATATCACTTGATCAGATTGTATATAACAGTAGGTATACTTGATACACGTGTATACATCTTTCATTTAAGCTGCATGGTGCTGAGGTACGGAGCTCTTCCTTCTGCCAGCGTCATCGTCGCCTACGACGTTGAGGCCTTCTCCGTGTTGATGCGAACCCTCCACAGCGTTGTCAACAGGTCGCCACCACGTTACCTGAAAGAGGTGCTGCTTGTCCCGTTTGGTAAAACTACAGGTGAGCAACAGACAGTGAGTGAGTGAGTTTGAGCAATATTCCAGCAATATCCCGGCGGATGACACCACGCCGAGACACGACATGGGGTATTCCCTACTTCAGCAATATTTAGCAATAGCACAGCAAGAATAGACACATTGAACTAAGATGACGTTCTCGATGTTAACGACGTCAGTGACGTCGTCTCCGTGACGTGGAAAACGCGATTCTTTTCACCCAAGCACAGGGCAATCCAACACACGGGGTAATCTTAGAAACGAAATGTCCTTCTCACACCTTACACTTGTATCTGTCTCCCAGGCCCTAAAGAAAAACGTGGAAATGAACCCAGCTCAGGTGTAGAATATACACTTTCCCCTGATATTTTTGCAAGACTTAGTGATGAGAGAAAGTGAGGAGAAACGGGAACACAGGAATTCAATATACTGGTTGGTTGGTTTATTGTTTAACGCCGTACTCAGCAATACTCCAGCTATAACGGTCTGTATTGTTTAGTCTGGACCAGACAACCCGGTGATCAACAGCATGAGCATCGAATTTCGCAATTGGGATACGAGAATACAATTTGTTTTACTATGTACAATGCCTGAACGATATCTATAATGCTTTCTTTTTAACAGAAATCATTTTAACATTTTGCCATGAATTTGCCAGTTATGTACATAACATGTAGCACAAGCTATTTGGTTTCATTTTCCTCTCTGTGAAGGTTAGGTCTTGGTGCTCCGTTGCCACACCATCTATACTCACAATATGAACCCCTTGTTGAAGTAGATAACGCTGTTTGCTGTTTTACGCCGCACTCGACAATATTCCAGCTACATGAGACGTAATCAAGTCTTGAGCAGACATTACAATGATTGACATCATGAGCACCAACCCATGAAATAAGGTCATGTTGACATGCATAGGCTGTGACTTCAATTTACTTCCGTAATGTAAACGGGTAGCCTTTGTGAGAGGAATCTAAGAGCCGCGTAGATGACAGGTACAGCTTAAGCATATATACTTATAAGAAAATATGGACCACCCCATTCTTTCGTAATATAGGCGGAGGGGTAGCCTAGAGGTTAAAGCGTTTGCTCATCACGCCGAAGACCCGGGTTCGATTCCCCACATGTGTACAATGTGTGAAGCCCATTTCTGGTAACCTCAGCCGTGATGTCGGTGGAATATTGCTTAAAGCCGCGTAAAACCATATTCACTCACTCGCTTTCATAATTAACTTTTCACGCCATTTTCCATGTCATTAACTTCTGTCCAGTGGTATAATGTAACCAAAACATACATAACATTGAGTTTTTCTGATAACAGGGTTAACAGAGATTATAAATGCCGTGCAGAAATACTGGCCAGAGGGCCCAGTGAGAGTTATCTCCCATAACGCCCTTCATGGACTGTATGAGGCTCGGTCACAAGGGGCAGAGGAAGCCAGAGGGGACGTGCTGGTGTTCTTAGACCCGCATTGCGAGGTTGGAGATGGATGGTAAGGCCGGATGGTTTCTTTTTCCTGGAGAAGCAGCAACCTTTGTTTATTAGCAAATAACAAACAACAAAAACAAATAGCATGACAAACAGATTTAGTTCCAAGTTCCCCTGAACGCCTTTTCCGATGTTGTCTTGATAGTATTGACATTTCTTGCCTTCAGTATAATACGCTGATGGAAGTAAAGTAAAGTAGTTTGAGTGAGTGAGTACATTATTCTGTAACGTCGGAAATTACACCATTAGGAGATCTGGGGCCTGTACAAGCGTTATGAAGAGATTGGAAACGAGAAACTTATCACCATTTGTGGGCTTGTACTTTCTTGTGTGATTTTGATCAAGTTCCGTCCGCTGTCATATAGCTTCATTCTGAGTTTTATATTTCCTTCAAGACCATTTCTACATTTGTTTTCTTAAACAGATATTTGAAGTTAGATCGTGATTATTGATGATGTTTTATCCTCGATAAACATGAGTAAGCTCAAAACAAACTAAAATCTACCATACCACAGCACCTCATAAGAGCAACGAAAACAGATTTTTGTTGGCTTGTTTTCCAGGCTCGAACCTCTTCTCCAGGCGATAGGTCATCACCCGAACATCGTTGCCGTCCCAGTGGAGGACAAGATAGCTACAGACACCCTCGCGCATACGGAATCACCGACCGAGCGAACTGGTGGCATCTTCTGGAAAATTGCGATGTCGTGGAGGCCTTTGTCGGAAGCCGAAAAGAAAGCCCGGAGGTCACCCACAGAACCAATTAAGTAATATTCGAGTTACCTCCCCTATATAATCTTTTCAGCTGATGTCCAAATAATAATCTGTGATTCTAGATCTCATGGAAACTGCTGTCAGAATTCGAAAAAAGGACTGCAAGTCACATATAGAAGCCATTAAGTATTCTTCGAATTACAATCCTTAAATCAAATTTTGTTCGAATTCAAATACCTCCCCATCGCTAATATTTTCGAATTTCGACCATGGCTTCAAATTTCATGGAGAGCTCTGTCGGCAGTCGAACAGGAAGACCGGAAGTAATATTCGAATTACCTCCTCTTATCAACTTATGAATGAATCGAGGGATCGATATGCTTTGTATGCCCATTGGTTACCGGTAACTACAGAAAACACTGATTATGAATACTTTGCTGGCCAAGTATGTGTCACTGCAATGTCTACCCAGCAGAAAAAGTCAATATAACTTCCTTCCTTGTTTCTGCGTGTAAAGGACATCACTTACTCTGTTCATATTTTGTGTGCGTGCGTGCATGCATGCATGCTTCTCCATAAAAGCATCATCGTCATCAACCCTCAACAAGTAAACATCAAACAAACAAATGCTTGTAACTGACGAAATTCAGGCGGATAGATTCGATTGTAATTATTGTTTCTCAACAGACGTCAACGGATGTAATGGTTGTTCATGTTATCAGCCTCTGCTTTACCTGGAGTCGTTTTCATCACGGGGTTTCAGCCACAGTTGCCAGGTGGCGTAGTTATAATATACCTAAACAGTCATTTTGACTCGTTCATGTCAGGAGAACTGCGATACAAGGGATTTTCACCGTTAACAAATATAGACATCGGCCTAAAACCCTTACTTATAAGTAGTCCCGGTCGCACAATGCAACAACTGTATCACAGACATTGACGGTTCACGTAATATATGAGCCGTCTTAGTGAAGATGTCCTAAGATCGTCAGTCTGGAGTATAGGCAGATGGGACCAAGTAAGGACTTGAGTATTATACACGGTATCCGTGCAAGTGTTCAGTAAAAAATATCCGTTTTTGCCGTTTTCTAGAACACCTATAATATCTGGAGATGTGTTTGCGGTGGCAGCTAAGTTCTTCATGTCTATTGGTGGCTTCCTGTCTGAGATGCGCACGCGCGGCGTGGAGTTGGAGTTCTCATATAAGGTAGAATCAGATTGAAATTGCACTCGTATCGAAGAAGTAATTTAAAAATGATTTTGTCTAAGAAATACTAAAATACTTCTAATTCTAAATTGTGTTAGTTTTCTTTCGTGTTATTTATGCCGTATATCAGTGAGTGAAAAGGGTTTTACGACGCAATATTACAGCAATATCACGGCAGGGGACACCAGAAAATGGATTCACACATTGTAACCATGTGGGGATTCGAACCCGGGTATTCGGTGTGACGAGCGAACGCTTTAACCTCTAGGCTACCTCATCGTCCCTAAGTATATCGTAGAAATAGTTCGAGTAGTTTGCACATTGAGCCTGGCCACATGGGTTCGAATCCCAGTTTCCTTGTTAATGCCCCTTGGTTTGTATACACGATATAATATCTGTATGGTTTTATAACAACATGACTGGGGTCAGTGAGTTAGCCTAGTTGTTAAAGCGTCTGCTCGTCCCGCTGAAGACCCGAGTTCGATTCCCCACATGGGTACAATGTGTGAACCCCATTTCGGGTGTCCCTCGCCGTGATATTGTTGGAATATTGCTAAAAGCTGCGTAAAACCATACTCACTCACTCACTCGACGTGATACAACGGTGTTTGTTACAGACCTGGATGTGTGGAGGGTTCCTGCTAATATACCCCTGTTCTCGGGTGGCACATCTGGCGCATCCGCAGGACGCATACAATAAACGTAGGTGAATCTCACTTAGTATACCTTTGCTTATACTTATAAGGGAAATTTCATGAGACAGGTTAAATGAGAGCCTTGCTCTTCGTAATTCTCTCTAAGGGGTATTGCGTCGAGCGCAAAGTATTCATAACAAAGTGCAAAGCAGCATTACAGTGAGTGTGTTTAGTTTTACGCTGCTTTTAGCAATATTCAAGCAATATCACGGCGGGGGAAACCAGAAATGGGCTTCACACATTGTACCCATGAGGGGAATCGATCCCGGGTCTTCGGCGTGACGAGCGAATGCTTTAACCACTAGGTTACCCCCCGCCCCCAAAGCAACATTACAGTCACAAAAACTGAAAAAACTGGAACACTAGTTCACTCGCTCAATTGGCTTGACTTTGCATGTGTTTGTGACAATACCAGATTTGGGGAGGATTTACACACCCTTTCGCGAATACCGGGTATCGTCGCTGTATTTGATAACCTCCTACATGCCACTACAGTTAAAACAACACACAGGCATTTACCTGTGATATGAACTGACCCAAAGAGATAACGGACATAGAGTATTGAGATCAAGGAAGGGATTAAACTGCTCCATTCTGGGAAACAGGCAGGCTTTAGATATACACATGGTGTATAACGGACATTTAGAGAGCTCACCTTAGTTCATGTTTACTCACCTGATCGCTATATTTGTAAATGTTTGTATGGAATATTTAAAAATTATACGATTTTGTTCATGTTTAAATGAAAACCCAAAGATTCTATAGTTATCAATATGTATTGTAACGGTACAACTGAGAGTTAATCAACCCACAAGTTGCTGTTGGTGTTTCAGTGAGCACAGAGACGGAGGAGAAGGCGTTGATACAGGTGGCGGAGGTGTGGATGGATGAGTACCGACGGCTCTTCTACATGTACCGGAAGTACATCCTGGTGAGTAATGGCCTACATGTACCGGAAGTACACCCTGGTGAGTAATGGCCTACATGTACCGGAAGTACACCCTGGTGAGTAATGGCCTACATGTACCGGAAGTACATCCTGGTGAGTAATGGCCTACATGTACCGGAAGTACATCCTGGTGAGTAATGGCCTACATGTACCGGAAGTACACCCTGGTGAGTAATGGCCTACATGTACCGGAAGTACATCCTGGTGAGTAATTGCCTACATGTACCGGAAGTACACTCTGGTGAGTAGGACCCGCGCTTGTACCGGATACAGATTCTGATGCCTTGTCCACGTGACCAAAGCGGTTGACAATTTAAGAATGTAAATTTTGGTAAGCGATGTTCAATATATCCTGGTCAATTTGAGGTTCCATGTAAACTTTTGATTATATCCTGACGAGAATACACCGCAAAATTACCGCAAAATTACCTAATGAGAATGGACCCTGTATGTACCGGAAGTATATCCTTGTGAGAAGGGTCCTGTATGTACCGGAAGTATATCCTGGTGAGAAGGGTCCTATATGTACCGGAAGTATATCAAGGTGAGAAGGGTCCTATATGTACCGGAAGTATATGTACCGGAAGTATATCCTGAGAAGGGTCCTATATGTACCGGAAGTATATCCTGGTGAGAAGGGTCCTATATGTACCGGAAGTATATCCTGGTGAGAAGGGTCCTTTATGTACCGGAAGTATATCCTGGTGAGAAGGGTCCTATATGTACCGGAAGTATATCCTGGTGAGAAGGGTCCTATATGTACCGGAAGTATATCCTGGTGAGAAGGGTCCTTTATGTACCGGAAGTATATCCTGGTGAGAAGGGACCCAACCTGTACCGGTAGAATATCCTGGTGATAAAGAACCCTACATGTGCCGGAAGTATATCCTTTTGAGAAGTTCTCTACATGTACCGGAGGTTCATCCTGGTACATGGGTGCTCCATATGTACTGGAGAACCATCCCTCTGTATAGGGCCCAGGGTGTGAATAGGCGTCTAGCGTCCCGTCCGGTCGCTTATGACAAGATGCTGGCATTGTGACTTAGTGAGTCGAGCAGTGCAGGTGTTCAAGGACCTTTATGTGTTTTCCCCCGCCGTGATATTGCTGGAATATTGCTAAAAATGGCGTAAAACTAAACTCACTCACTCACTTATGTGTTTCCAGTCACAGCCGTGGGGCGGAGACTTCGCCCAGGAACACCTACTGCAGTCGCGGCAGAAGTGCAACAGCTTCGGCTGGTACGTGGACTACGTCTACCCAGAGAAGTTCATGCCGGACGAAAACGTGTACGCGTGGGGTGTCGTAAGTACATTCATACACATCAGTAGTGGGGCGGTGGGGTAGTTAAAGCATTCGTTCCTCACGGCGAAAACCGGGTTTGATTCCCCACTTGGGTACAATGTTTGAAGCCCATTTCTGGTGTCCCCGCCTTGATATTGCCAGAAGCATGAAGCCGCGTAAAACCCAAACTCACTCGCTCACATCAGTAGTGAGTGAGTATGGTTTTACACTTCATTTAGCAATATTCCAGGATTATCGCCGGAAATTTACAGCACATGTCGTACCCATGAGGGGAATGGAAACCGGGTCTTCAGCGTGACGAGCGAACGCTTTTACTACTTGGCTACCCTTCTGCTCCTCATGCGTCGGAAACATCGCGGACTCGTTGGTTTCTTTCGCGTTCCCAAGTGCCACATAATTGCATTTTGAGCTGATTGTCATTGAGATCGAGAGATCACATTATTGACTGACATGATCGCGTGCTGCCGTACCGTAATAACATTGGTAATTGGTATCAACCACAACCCCCCTCTCCATTAATTAAAGGACCACGAGGGTTTAGGCGAGAGCGTTGGATCCATAACGTTTGAATTGGTGCTTCCTGGTCAGAATGTATCCCAGGCGATTGGTAGTAGGCCTGAGAATGTTTGTGGTTTAATAGTGTGTGTGTGTGTGTGTGTGTGTGTGTGTGTGTGTGTGTGTGTGTGTGCGTGCGTGCGTGCGTGTGTGTGTGTGCGTGCGTGTGCGTGCGTGTGTTATTGTGCATGTGTGTGTGGGGTGGGGTGCGGGGGTTGTGTGCATGTGAGTGCGCGTGTGCGTGCGTGTGTGTGTGTTGCTTCGGGCGAGCGTGCTTATGTGTGTAGGGGCGGGATGGGAGGGAGGTTTCATTTCCCCTATAATCAATGCCACTAATTCATCTGCAGGCAAGAGTCCAGGTCGAAAGACAAAACTCAAAAACCCGTGAAGATCCGGGTTAGAATTGGTGTTCAGGAACAACTGCTTGTCGTAAAAGGCGACTAACCGGATCGGGTTGTCAGACTCGCTGACTTGGTTGACACAATGTCATGTCATCGCATCCCAATTGCGTAGATCGATGCGCATGATGTTGATCACTGGATTCTCTGGTCCAGACTCGATTATTTACAGACCGCCACCATATAGCTGGAATATTGCTGAGTGCGGCGTTAAACAACAAACCAAAACACTTGTTTTTAACTCTATTTATATTAATAGATAAATATTAATATATATATATTACATTGATATCGGTGTTGCTGATGACAGTTTCCATTGCTTCTAGGTTCGGAACCCCTTCACCGAGATGTGCCTGTCAATACCTCCCACCAAGACCACAGACCTGCCCAAATTAGGGGACGCCGTGTCAAAGGTCATTTGTGACCACAGCGGGAACATGGACCAGGTAGGTGTATACTGCTCAACGCCACATAGGGATACTTGGATGCACATACATGATACAAGGTAGAATGGTGGATACAAACGGAATGCCTTAACATAAATGGTGTAGTGTGGAACATAAAGAGCTCAAGTCGTCATCGGTTAGATTGTCTACATATATCCTTAGTGCCACGTCCAACTGATGTTCAACTGATGCGTGGTTGGGTGGATAAAGTGTCTACCTGGAAGGTTGACGGTTCGATTCCCGCTCGTGTCAGACCAAAAGACGTTTAAAGATGGTACTTGTTTTTACTCTGGCGCTCGGCTATAAGGGGAGATAACTCGAACTGTGTGGCGCTGAGTCAGTACACTGTGATTGAGTTAGCTATTACACACAGTGGGCTAGTACCACTATCCGTGATCCATATTATTTTCCATACTGCCAAACCCTCCCTGCAATGCTAAAGCCCTAAATGAAGCAAGTCTAGATTTCCCCAGGTTCAGGATTTCTCATCTCATCACTGGGCTTCTTTTCAATTTAAATTGGGTTATTCGTTACTGTCAAAATTATATATATTCAGAGACTAAGCAATATGGCATTTTGTATTCATAGCTTTCGGTCGTGGGAGCCATGCCAATCGTCATGTTAGTGGTAGATAATATCACCTACCTTTAAAGAGCTGATTTAGATTTGGTCATGAGAAATCCATGTTTGTCGTAAGAGGCGACTATCGGAATCGGGTGGTCAGGCTCGCTGACTTGTTTGACACATGTCATCGTTTCCCAATTGCGTAGAGAGATGCTCATGCTGTTGATCACTGGATTGTCTGGTCCAGGCTCGAATATTTTTAGACAACCCTACTATAGCTGAAATATTGCTGAGTGCGGCATAAAAGAACACACACAACATTAAACCGACACAGATGGTGTAACTGAAGCAATTTAAAGCGACTTTTAAGCTCTAAACTGAAATGAAAAGCACCAACGTGTTTTGTTAATGTTAAAACTAATCTGTGGGCAGGAAGAGTGTTGACGGGAATGTCTGTATGTTATCGCCATTAAGGCTTGTGGGCTTTCTTGGTTAATGTTCATCCTGTAAGAAGCCTACAGCGACCCCTTGAATGGTGGAATTGGGTTTAACGTCGTGCTTGAGAATATTTCGCTCATATGACGACGTGCATGCGTGTGTATGTGCATGTGCGGCTGCTTGTACTAGCCCAGACTTAAGCTGGTTTTATAGTGCTAGCCCACTGATATATCATGCCGCAGTGAAGCATGAATACCCCACTCAGACACATTATACTGACTCCGAGCCGACCAGTCCTTGTTGTACCCATTAATGCCGAGCGCCAGGCAGGGACCAACAAGTACCATATTTTAACGTCTTTTGGTATGACCCGGTCGGGGATCGAACCCGCGACCTTCCTCTCTCCGGGCGGACGCTCTAACCATTACACCACGGAGGCGGTCGCGACCCCTTGAATCACTTATGGATGTCTCTTTTTAAATGTTCTTTCAGACATTTTCTTACACGTTCGACAAGACCATCCGACAAGAGGAGTACTGTCTGAACAGTGACGGCGGGAACAACTCGCCCCTCACCATGGTCGACTGCCGCCTCGACTTGGATACTACCAAGTGGGACTATAATAAGGTACAGTGTGTGAGTGAGTGAGTTTATACTTTTACGCCGCTTTGGGCAATATTCCAGCAATATCACGGCGGGGGACACAAGAAATGGGTATCACACATTGTACCCATGTGGGGAATAGAACCCAGGTTCTCGCCGTGACGAGCGAACGAGGCTACCCAGCCGCCCCTAATAAGGTACAGAGCGCCAACAACAGCACCATGGCTTACCGACGATAAAATATTTCCATGTTTTAAATTCATTTCAAAATACTTTCCATTAAAATTCTAATCGGTTATTGTTGTGTTAGAAGCATTACTATATTTTGTGTGTTATGATTGACTGAATGGCACGTTACAAGAAAAAGCATGTAAATTGAATGTGTCCGAAACATACTCTTTATGGAAACGTCAGTGTGTTGAAAACAGTTGTCGAAACACTGAGTGAGTGAGGTTAGTTTTACGCCGCACTTCGCAATATTCCAGCTATATGGCGGCGGTCTGTAAATCAATCGAGTCTGGATCAGACAACATGAGCATCGATCTACTCAATTGGGATACGATGATATTTGTCAACCAAGTCAGCGAGCCTGACCACCCGATCCCGCTAGTCGCCTTTACGACAAGCATGGGTTACTGAACACCAATTCTAACCCGGATCTTCAGGGTTCTGTCGAAATTCTGCCCACTTCAGTCCAAAACACAATTATACCTCTATTAAACACAATTATACCTCTATTAAACACAATTATACCTCTGTTAAACACAATTATACCACTATTAAACACATTACTATTGAATATAGATGTTCTGTTTGTTAGGTTTGTTTTAGTTCTCTCTTTTTTCTCTAATTTAGCTCCCATCAGTCATGGATGTGGTTGGTACTGGTATCATAGATGGGTTTTAAGGCTTTAACTTGGCAGTGTTTCGGCGAATGTTTTCAGTATATTGTCGTATCATTATGTTTCAGTCAAATCGAAGTTTCAAATGTGTACTTCTGTTTATTTGTTGTTTATATATGAAACTCACTCAACCAAAACCCACATACACTCATTCATCCATCCACAAACCCACTTTCACTCACTCATTCAATCACTCACTCACTCACTCACTCACTCACTCACCACTCGCCTCACTCCACCTCAGACCCGTGAAGATCCGGGGTAGAATAGGTCTTCAGCAACCCACGCTTGCCATAAAGGCGACTATCCTTGTCGTAAGAGGCGACTAACGGGATCGGGTGGTCAGGCTGCTGACTTGGTTGACACATGTCATCGGTTCCCAATTGCGCAGATCGATGCTCATGCTGTTGATCACTGGATTGTCTGGTCCAGACTCGATTATTTACAGACCGCCGCCATATAGCTGGGATATTGCTGAGTGCGGCGTAAACCTAAACTCACCTCACCTCACCTCCACCTCCACCTCACCTCACCTCACCTCACCTCACTCACATTGTGTTATCCAGGAGGACTGTATGGTGAAACACGTGAAGTCGGGGCTGTGTCTGTCGTCGTCGGGGAACAAGACCCCAACCCTCTCCCTCGAGCCCTGCGTCAACCAGACCAAAAACCAAATATGGACATTCCTCTATTACCTGAACGTGCCGCTTACATAGAGTGACCAGTCATTGTAATGTAATTCACATGCACTGTTGGTGCTGCACACGTGCACTACAGCCATCCTTCATTACCCGACTACCCCTCATATAGAGGGACCAGTCATTATAATGTAATTCACATGCACTGTTGGTGCTGCACACATGCCCTACATCCATCCTCCATTACCCGACTACCCCTCATATAGAGGGACCGGTCATTGTAATGTAATTCACATGCACTGTTGTTTCATTTTATACACATATATTCCCTCTATTAAACATCGGGCCTCGAACACACCCCGAGATTAAATATATTAATAAGACGTATAGTTCTTAACCACGGAATTCGCTCCATTATTATCGCCTAGGGTTAAGAGTGTCCTACATAAATATCCGCCAGACGTTTTTCCTAGGAAGTAAGTACCCTGAACCATTCACCACCTTAGCCTCGCTTTGAGGTCGACTTGAATAACTCTATAAATAGGCGTCCAATCACCTTACACTGTAGGATTAAAACAAGTAGCGTCATCACCAGTTTTCGTCTCGCCGTTTCGCGTGCGGTTGCACGTTTTAAGAAACATATATAGCATAAAGGTCACGGACGCTTGATCAGAAAGGAGACGTAAAGCACTGGATAAACGAGGATGATCCGCAGTAGGAAGTGACTGTTAATTGCATAATGAACAAATAGAATCCACACAATCTTTACACACCTTCTCAGTCCTGGCTAGATCGGCTCAGCAATAGCACGTCGTCGTTAAGACAAATACTCATGCAAACAAATTACGCAACACAAGGTTTACTGACGTATAATTTTCACTGGTGTGGTCATATGGAACAGAATACATCACCGAGTAATTTCTTCGCTGAAACTACGCTACAAGTTACTTTACAACAAAAATAATACCGTTTCAATCATATTTTTACTGGATAATCCTACATCATGAAATGTTTGGTATCAATGTATGTATGATATACCGGGGCTGTTTTATTGGCTATTTTTATCGGACATGCTGAACATTCTGTAAGGGTCTGTAAAACAAAACTATATGTTTAAAATTAATACTATCAGCCATTTCATAGAAACAAATAAATTGTGTTCCTGAGGGGGACGAATTCATCCCTTACCCATCTCCGGCTTCGCAAGACTTACTGTAAAGCACCACAACAACCCATGTAAATAATAGCTGAACATTGAATAATGTGTATATATTGACATGTGTACGATATGGTCAATAATGTCGCAATTATTTTAGCACGTGGGGCTGGTTCAAAGCAACGTTTTGGACCATATTCATTGAAACAAAGATGTTAAACCAATGTCCAAGCGATGTGCACATGTTAGAGGGTCATTTTTAATTTGTTTAAATGTCAAAAGAAGTCATAGCTTGTTTCTATGCGATTATGTGCATCCTCAAACAGAGTTTGTAGGCCATGCTGCGTCGTATCTTCAAAGGTGACATTCAACAATAATCCTTTATGGCATAAACATGTCGTTTGTTGCAGGACAATCAAACAATTGCTAGTATAACTTGAGATGAGTGAGTGAGTTTAATTTTACGCCGCACTCAGCAATATTCAAGCTATATGGCGGCGGTCTGTAAATAATCGAGTCTGGACCAGACAATCCAGTGATCAACAGCATGAGCATCGATCTGCGCAATTGGGAACCGATGACATGTGTCAACCAAACTTGAGATGAGAATTATTGGAGGATGGACATTAGTTGAAACTATTCGAGGGCTTCTGTTCAATACGGAGTCTATTGGAAGCTTTAATCATGAAAGTGTGTGATCATTCTTTATCTTATATCCATCTGACTTTGTTTTAAAGCTGTTTAAGCAGCGCATGGAATGACAAAACAACGACCTGGTATTGGAAGCGGTAGTAAAATATGGTTGAATTTGATGGGATCTTCCATGACTGTCTGCGACAGTTTGTTATAAATGTGAAACATATCGGGCTTTTCCTCAGAATTAGACACAGATTGTATTTATTACGATTTCATGTGATTGACAGGTATGACATCATGTGATTGACAGGATTGACATCCACACGGGAGTCTTGAAGCTGTGGCCCAAATGAACCGTGCGACATCTGGATTCATAATGTATATATATATACACGTTATGTGAGACCCACAACTGCTGAACAACAATTAATTAAACAAATATTGCATTTCCTAAGCTTCCATCCCATAATCATAATAAATCTATTTTTGGACCATATTTTTCTTTATTGTTTGACAACTCCTGTCGGAACAAGCAGCAGTCCAGAAGACGCAAGATGTACCACGTGACTGAAGGGTGAAGGCCACGTGACAATGGCGGCTTCAGTTGTCTCGCGCTGTCGTTGGGATGAGTGCGTATGGTTTTACTCCGCTGGTTGCAATATTCCAGCAATATCACGGCGGGGGACACCAAAAATGGGCTTCACACATTGTACCAATGTGGGGAATCGAACCCGGGTCTTCTGCGTGACCAGCGGAGGCTTTAACCACTAGGCTACCCCACCGACACCGCTGTGGTTTTAAAGTACGTTAGGATAAAACTTCTAAAATATCAACCTGACCGCCCCTGATATAGTATAATGACTAACGACTGCATGGCTGTCTGTGGAACTGTAATATTGCTAGGTGAGGTGAGGTGAAATTGGGTTTAACCATGTGCTTGAGAATATTTCGCTCATATGACGACGTGCATGCGTGTGAATGTGTATGTGCGGCTGCTTGTACTAGCCCAGACTTAAGCTGGTTTTATAGTGCTAGCCCACTGAGATACCATGCCGCAGTGAAGCATGAATGCCCCACTCAGACACATTATACTGACTCCGAGCCGACCAGTCCTTGTTGTACCCATAAATGCCAAGCGTCAGGCAGGGACCAACAAGTACCATATTTTAACGTCTTTTGGTATGACGCGGTCGGGGATCGAACCCGCGACCTTCCGCTCTCCGGGCGGACGCTCTAACCACTACACCACGGAGGCGGTCAATATTGCTAGGTAGTGTTCGCCGGTCATCTATAAATATTAAAGCGGCATGGAAGGGTGTAGTTTAAACTGAAAACGTACATATGAGTGAGTGAGTGAGTGGTTTTCACACCACTTCGTACAGTACTCAGCCACAGCGCTAAGGTTATCAGCGTGACGGTAAAGAGAGTGACAAAATAACCTCAGGTGAGACGCGGGCGCTGACAAACCAGAAAACCAGTCAAATGAGATTCGAACCATGATCACAGCTTCTCGTCCTCATAATTTCAAGGGACGTAACCCTGTATAGCTCATTCTCAGCCTTCGGCGACTGGACAACCTGTGCACAGTTTTGTCTATGAAAATTTGCATGACGAGTAAGAGGTTTACATCTGATTAGTGAGTTAACAGCTCGCCGTGACTCATCCACGGTTTGATAAACGTGCAGGTAAGTGGCACATCATATCAAAGCAGTACAAAGAAATAACTGTGTTACCTCACGTCTTGGTTACGAACACTAGATCTTGTCAAGCTATGTTATCAGATATGTGGTTTATGAAGTACATTAATTACTTAAATTGATCTGCACGAAGGAATTATGGTGCAGATGTGCAGGTCGATCCGTGGATTAGCTAACATACATAGCGTTCACTGACATCCTGTTATCACTGAAGGTTTGTGCAGTATATTTTGCCGATATTTTATGCGTATTCTTGAGAACGTGTTGCTTTCAGCTGGTTCGTGTTTGTCATTTATGAGCTATGAATCAATATTAAAGCCAAAGCCGTGCGAAGGTGTATTTATTACATACTGGCACAGTTTATTGATTGGCGGACCGGTAACACCTGCAGCAAGGTCAAGGTCTCCATGGGGAGAAATCGTTGTCGGAAAATGTTCCGACACAATTTACAAGGGGAATACAGGTCCGGAATATATGAATTCTAGTATACGTTTAAACACGGGCAAACTATAAAACACGTATGATAACGTTTGAAGCGCATCCGTCTATAAACCTTTTCTGTTACTACTATGCATCCCCGTGATGCTCTATGTATAGAAATAAAAGGCTGTATGACTGTAATACAAACATATACAGTATAACATTTTCGGCTGTTATAATCATGTTGATTAATGTATGGCTGTGCCCTAGTTAGTCGATAAATGGTCATATCAACAGATCCTCATGGCCAAATATCTGTTGATTACACAATTTAGGCGCCCAAAGCCTCTGTTACATTGCTGATTCATTTGAAATCCAGTTTATCATCGAAATGATAACATTGTTATCAGAAAGATGTCGTCTTCTCCTGTCTGCCGCGTTTCCCTGACTAACAGACATGAGAAACGGAGAGAATGTATGGGTAGAGCATCACGGTGATACATGAAAAAGGGGTATGTTACATACAGAGAGCATCAAGGGATATATGGATGGAGAGCATCACGGGGATACATATGGTACAAACAGAAGGAATACATGGATGGAGAGCATCACGGGGATACATATGGTACAAAACAGGGATATATGGATGGAGAGCATCACGGGGATACATATGGTACAAACAGAAGGGACATATGGATAGAGAGCATCACGGGGTACATTTAACAAAGAGAAGGAATATATAGATGGAGAACATCACAGGGATATATATGGGTACAAACAGGAGGGATATATACAAACAGAAGGAATACATGGATGGAGAGCATCACGAGGGATATATATATATATGGTACAAAGAGGGATATATGGATGAGAGCATCACGGGGATACATATGGGTACAAACAGAAGGGATATATGGATAGAGAGCATCGCGGGATACATATGGTACAAACAGAGAGGAATATATGGATGGAGAGCATCACAATATATGGTACAAACAGAAGGGATATATGGAGGAGAGCATCACAGGGATATATATGGTACAAACAGAAGGGATATATGGACAGAGAGCATCGCGGGATACAATGGTACAAACAGAAGGATATATGGATGGAGAGCATCACGGGGATACATATGGGTACAAACAGAAGTAATATATGGATGGAGAGCATCACAGGGATATATATGGTACAAACAGAAGGGATATATGGATAGAGAGCAGGGATATATATGGTACAAACAGAAGGGATATATGGATGGAGAGCATCACGGGATACATATGGTACAAACAGAAGGGATATATGGATGGAGAGCATCACGAGGGATATATATATATGGTACAAACAGAGGGATATATGGATAGAGAGCATCACGGGATACATATGGTACAAACAGAAGGGATATATGGATGGAGAACATCACGGGGATACATATGGTACAAACAGATGGGGATATATGGATAGAGAGCATCATGGGATACATATGGTACAAACAGAAGGGACATATGGATAGAGAGCATCACGGGATACATATGGTACAAACAGAAGGAATATATGGATGGAGAACATCACAGGGATACATATGGTACAAACAGAAGGGATATATGGATGGAGAGCATCACGGGGATACATATGGTACAAACAGAAGGGATATATGTATATAGTTGGAGAGCATCATGGGATACATATGGTACAAACAGAAGGAATATATGGATGGAGAGCATCACGAGGGATATATATATGGTACAAACAGAAGGGATATATGGATAGAGAGCATCACGGGATACATATGGTACAAACAGAAGGGATATATGGATAGAGAGCATCACGGGATACATATGGTACAAACAGAAGGGATATATGGATTGAGAACATCACTGGGATACATATGGTACAAACAGAAGGGATATATGGATAGAGAGCATCACGGGATACATATGGTACAAACAGAAGGAATATATGGATGGAGAGCATCACAGGGATACATATGGTACAAACAGAAGGGATATATGGATGGAGAGCATCATGGGATACATATGGTACAAACAGAAGGGACATATGGATAGAGAGCATCACGGGATACATATGGTACAAACAGAAGGAATATATGGATGGAGAACATCACAGGGATACATATGGTACAAACAGAAGGAATATATAGATAGAGAGCATCACGGGATATATATGGTACAAACAGAAGGGATATATGGATAGAGTGCATGTGGGATACATAGTACAGACAGAAGGGATATAGATAGGATATATGGTACAAACAGATGGGATATATGGATAGAGTGCATCACGGGATACATATGGTACAAACAGAAGGGATATATGGATAGAGAGCATCACGGGGATACACATGGTACAGACAGAAGGGATATATGGATAGAGAGCATCATGGGATACATATGGTACAAACAGAAGGGATATATGGATGAGAGCATCACGGGAATACATATGGTACAGACAGAAGGGATATATGGATTGAGAGCATCATGGGATACATATGGTACAAACAGAAGGGATATATGGATAGAGAGCATCACGGGATACATATGGTACAAACAGAAGGGACATTATGGATAGAGAGCATCACGGGAATACATATATACAAACAGAAGGGATATATGGATGGAGAGCATCACGGGAATACATATGAGTACAAACAGATGGAATTATGGATGGCAACATCACGGGAATGCATATATGAAACAGACAAAGGGATATATGGATGAAGAGAGCATCATGGAAATACATATGGTACAAACAGATGGAAATATGGATGAGCATCACGGGAATACATATGGTACAGACAGATGGGAGATATGGATGGCGAGCATCATGGAATACATATGATACAGACAGAAGGGATATATGGATAGGCGAGCATCACATGGGATACATATGGTACAGACAGATGGAATTATGGATGGAGAGGACATCACGGGAGACAGACATTATGGATGGAGGCATCACGGGAATACATATGGTACAGACAGAGGGATATATGGATGGCGAGCATCATGGAGATACATATGGTACAGACATGGATGGGAGCATCATGGAATACATATGATACAGACAAAGGGATATATGGATGAGAGAGCATCACGGGAATACATATGGTACAAACAGATGGAATTATGGAGAGCATCACGGGAATACATATGATACAGACAGATGGAATATATGGATGGCGAGCATCATGGGAATACATATGATACAGACAAAGGGATATATGGATGGCGAGCATCATGGGAATACATATGGTACAAACAGATGGAATTATGGATGGCGAGCATCACGGGAATACATATGGTACAAGACAGATGGATATATGGATGGAGAGCATCACGGGAATACATATGATACAGACAGAAGGGATATATGGATGGAGAGCATCACGGGAATACATATGGTACAAACAGATGGATATATGGATGGGGACATCACAGGGAATACATATGATACAGACAAGGGATATATGGATGGCGAGCATCACGGGAATACATATGGTACAAACAGATGGAATTATGGATGGCTAACATCACGGGAATACATATGATACAGACAGATGGAATTATGGATGGCGAGCATCACGGGAATACATATGATACAGACAAGGGATATATGGATGGCGAGCATCACGGGAATACATATGGTACAAACAGATGGAATTATGGATGGCGAGCATCACGGGAATACATATGATACAGACAGATGGAATTATGGATGGCGAGCATCACGGGAATACATATGATACAGACAGATGGAATTATGGATGGCGAGCATCACGGGAATACATATGATACAGACAAGGGATATATGGATGGCGAGCATCACGGGAATACATATGGTACAAACAGATGGAATTATGGATGGCGAGCATCACGGGAATACATATGATACAGACAAGGGATATATGGATGGCGAGCATCACGGGAATACATATGGTACAGACAGATGGAATTATGGATGGCGAGGCATCACGGGAATACATATGATACAGACAAAGGGATATATGGATGGCGAGCATCACGGGAATACATATGGTACAGACAGATGGAATTATGGATGGCGACATCACGGCTAGCACAGACATATGAAGGAATTATGGATGGCGAGCATCACGGGAATACATATGGTACAGACAGATGGAATTATGGATGGCGAGCATCACGGGAATACATATGATACAGACAAGGGATATATGGATGGCGAGCATCACGGGAATACATATGGTACAGACAGATGGAATTATGGATGGCGAGCATCACGGGAATACATATGGTACAAACAGAAGCTATATATGGGTGGAGAACATCACAGGGATTCACATGCTATTAACTCTGTTCTGTTATATATTCGTGAATTGAGACTACCTATTGGTCTGTTTCAGATGACGAATGATGTACTACATCATTGCCTTGTTTGTAATTGGTTACATTTTGGTCACGTGGTTTGTACGGAGTCGCCGAATAAAAGATTACAGCGACAAATTCGTGTTCATCACAGGGTGTGACACGGGTTTCGGCAACGGCTTGGCTCGGCGGTTGGACCGACTGGGCTTCCATACATTTGCAGCTTGCCTTACGGAGAAAGGCGCAGACGATCTGACAAAAAGCTACATCTGCCAGGCTCGTGGCCGTCTGCTGTGACGTCACTGATGACGACAGCATCAAGCAGACAATTAATACTGTCAAGGAACATTTACCGAATGGTAAAGGTATGTGATCATTATGAGTAAGGGGGTTTGGATTAAAAATGGCTTTGAACAGTATGTTTCAGGTATTTGTTAACATTCCTGGGCGTAACTAGACACAATAGTCTGTCTCACAGTCCCTGAACCACATTATTTCCCCCACTGCCAAGCCCTCTCTGCAGTGCTAAAGCCCTAAATAAAGCAAGTCTAGGTTTCCTCAGGTTCTGAATCTCTGGTCTCCCTAGGGCTCCTTTTCAATATAAATGGGCTTGTTTGTTACTATCAAAATTATATATATTCAGAGACTAAGCCTTAGTCTACTAGACACAACTGTTTGCCCAAACCCACACGTTTATAGATCGGCCACGGGAGCCCTCGACCTATGAACTATGATTGTCCTTGAAAAGAGATATTTTGGTCAGGTTTGGGACGTCGGAAAAGCATAAGTTAATAGACGTTAACCTAACGTATACGGATAAAGTGTACTATCACTTTCTAGATTAGTTTATAGGTAAGTCGTTCACGGTATGTTCATTAGGTTTAATATATCTTTTCGACCAACTCAAATAACCTCACTGCGCAACCGTAGGTTTGGATGTCTCTCGCCAACATCACGTCTATGCATGGTGCTTGTAAATTGAAGTCCCTATTCGGTTTAGTTTTTAGATCTGAACTTGTGAATAGATCCTGGCACAACTAAGGGGCGCAACTCTACTTAGATCGCCGACCTCCGTCATATAGCTTGCATATTGCAATATATTAGAGCGATATAAAACAACATACAAACAATCGCTAGCGGTGTCGTATCTACGCATTGGGATCGATTTGCATATGACGTGAACATGTCTTGCATGTATACTATCCCAAAAAAGAAACGCATAGGCGTTTTGTATTTTTTTAAAATCTATTAATTACCTATTGTGTTCAAACAATCGTCAAAATATGTGACAAAAGTGTTGATAACATGATTTTACACAATTGCACAAGTAAAATATCGACTTGACCTGAAAATGTTGACTTTGATGAGATTTCTTACAAGGATTAAAAACGCATCGCCACAACTCAACAAAAATCACCTTCCAGTTGAAATTGTGCAGCAAAAAGCATGCACTGTCTGGCTATAAAAATCCAGATTACTTTCGGAAATCGGCATTCGTTTTCAAGGAGTTTCAAGGTCAAATCACTACGCCATGTCTTGACGCTGCGACACGGAACATCGCCATTGAAAGAATGCACGCTTGAGATTATCAATCTTCTGTTGCCAGGCGTCTGAATGTTAGTCTGAGCACGATATCACGGCTTGCAGCATGTTACACCAAACAGGTATAACAAATGACCGTCCCCGTACAGGTAGACCTCGAGTCACCACTGCAGCTCAAGTTCGGTACATCCTGGTACTACAATTGCGTGATCGTACTGCCACGGGTGAGAGCACAGCAGCCAGCGTGTCTGGACTTCGGAGGATATCCGATCAAACTGTACGGAACAGGTTGAGAGAGATTGGACTGATAGACAAAACTGATGTAAAAATTCATGCACTAAAGTCTATTTGTGGACGAGTTATACATGTTTGGAAATACACCATTTTCGCAACAGATTTCTGGCCTATGCGTTTCTTTTTTCGGGACAGTATATTACGCGTCTGATGTTTATGTCGTTGAGATGAAGAGTGAGTGAGTATGTTTGTACGCCACTCTTAGCAATATTCCAGCAATATCACGGCGGGGACACCAGAAATGGGCTCCACACATTGTACCCGTGTGGGGAATCGATCCCGGGTCTTCGGCGTGACGAGCAAACGCTTTAATCACCAGGCTACAAGGCCTCTCCCGTTGAGATGAAGTGTTCGTGTCAAATTGTCTACAATTAAGCGCTTTTGCAAAGATCCCGCTAAAGAGAAATCTGTTGACATTATTTATATTTCACACTTTGCTCAAGGTCTGGCATCAACAAACATACCAAGACATGTTCACGTAATACCAAACAGCAAACACATTTTGAAACGCTAGACAAATGTCGATCTGGGTTTTGTCGAGGCGACCTGTGACATTTGTGAAGTCCTTTGTGCTTTTTTTACAGAAAAGTTTGCATTTACACCCTCAGTGAACCGGTACGTGTGTGTTTCGTCTATTAAAGTGCGCGGACGTGGTGTCTTAGCGGGCTAATTACAGGTAGTGTTTCACCTGCGCGCTCACCTCTGCGTTCCATGTACAGCAATTACGGCACTAGCACCTGACATGGAGGTGTAAATGTCCTGGTGTGGGTCTTGTGTAGGTGTGTGCAACTTCAGGGACGTCTCAAAAGTGACTTTCGGGTACACTGGAAACCTTAGGTAACTATTGAACAATTATGCTTGAGGGACCATCTCAAAATCCGTTTAGTAGATTTGTTGATTTGAAATCTACAGTGTAACAAAATTTTATACGATAGTTATTTATGTTCAACAGCACCGTTTTGTAGTCATGGAAACGGTCACGAGGAAAACTTAACTGGCTATCGGAATCGCTAAAAATAACGTCAAAAATGCAATAAGAGACTGATATTTAGTGCCAGAAAAAAAATACTCAAAATACATTGTATTATGAAAAGACATAACAAAACATATCCAAATAGGGCCCAGAACAGTCTTTAATTTCTGGAAATCATTCTAGGCTTGAATGAGACTCCTATTTAACTTATTCTCTAGGGCCTGGAGAGGGGATGTATCACGGCGCGTCTGTTTATTAAGGGAGGAAGGCCCGAAGTACTGAAGGTTTCAGACCTTTGCAGCTTTAATGAAACCGATGAGCGCGGTTGTGGTACAGACAAACCTAGAAACATAATCGTGACAAACTGGGATTCGAACCCACCAAACAGGTTTGTGGCGTGTCCAAGGGACGTAACCCACACATACTCAGCACCTATGATGAAGAATACGTCATTTAGAGATAAGCTCATGCTTATAAGACATAAAGGTATACAATCTATCATCTTAATTGTGCTTTTAATGAAATAAACATTTCTTTATGTGGTTATTGCATCACTGATTTGGTGGGAAGATATTCACGTCAAACAGATATACAGAATGTAATTTCTTTTACTTTATATCTTATCCCAAAGGGTCAGTACAATTTTAAAAATAATCAGAATGTAACATCTATTAAATTCTGGGTGTTTGAGATTAAATTTTAATCATATTATCTTATTTATTTATTTATTTATTTATTTATTTTTTATTTATTTTTTATTTATTTATTTAAAGATTTGCCACGTAAAGACGCCTTTGTTACTAATGCTTAAAGAGAGATTGACATAAATTTATTAAGATAGATGCTTTATAGATATGTCCACTTTCTGTTATGTATGTCATCAGTCGGTCAAAGTTCGGGAGAGGTGACCTGTAATGGGATGTCCCCAGGTCGTTGAATCAGCAGCGTCAGTTAGCATCGGATTCTTATGATAAAATGCTCATGGCCAGAAATGGAAGCGTTCCCGTTAGCACAAGCACGAGGGGGTCTTCACAACAGATTAATATACCAACAGGGGTTGGTTTGGAGTGGGACGAGAGGACAGTCTGCATAGGCCCATACGATGTGTTTGTGTATTGTTTAACGTCGCAGGGGTATAGCCTAGTGGTTAAAGCGTTGGCTTGTCACGCCGAAGACCCGGGTTCGAATCCCCACAAGGGTACAATGTGTGAAGCCCATTTCTGGTGTTCCCCGCCGTGATGTTGCTGGAATATTGCTAAAAGCGGCGTAAAACCAAACTCAGTCAGTCAGTCAGTCAGTTTAACGTCGCCATCAGGATTATTCTAGCTATGAGGCGGTCTGTAAATAATCAAGTCTGGACAAGACAATCCAGTGATCAAGATCATGAGCATCGATCTGCGCAATTGGGATACGATGACACGGGTCAGCCAAGTCAACGAGCCAGACCACCCGATCCCGTTAGTCGCCTTTCTCGACAAGCATGGGTTACTGAAGATCAATTCTAACCCCGATGTTCACGGATACTGAGATATTAATATCAAAAACATCAGTTATGCATCATGGATAACGCTTTGCAATCTTTGCTAACCGGATGCATGTGGTACTCATAAGAGACACAAACATCCGTGTCCCAGATACGGGTGTATAAGGTTATCACGCCAGTCTGTTTGTAGGATGGTATACGTCCTTCAAGATGAATAAAGACACAGGCGTGATAACCTCTTTATCATATGATATTCCGTTCAATGCCATTCTTAATTCTAATGGGTAGCCGAGTGGTTGTTGTGTTAGAGCGTCGCGACGAAGGTCCGAGTTTGATTACCTACATAACTACAATGTGTAAAGACTATTTCTGGTGTCCCTAATAATATGTAATAATTGTGAATTACGTCCCGCAACAATACTTTCACTCACACTATTTCTATCATCAAAATGACTTGTTTATCGCTTACGGCAACAGAGCATTTATGTAACAATTAATATAATCAATATGTTACGTCACAGTTGTCTAATGGGTTTCAACAGACACCGTTATGTTTACCGATGCGTTGGCTGTTGATAGATTGATATTTATATCAACCAATGAGAATCAACCATTCTTCTATGTCACTGTAGCCATGTATCAACCACATCAGCGAGTCTGACCACCTGATCAACTTGATTGACTCTGTGTAGAATGTTTAGGTTGCCAAGCAACATCTTCTAAATGTGTAGCTGGAATGTCTTTTACAGGTATATGGGCGATAGTGAACAACGCGGGGGTGACCGGGGCGGTGGCGCCAACAGAATGGCTCAGTCGGGAGGACTGGAACATACCGATGTCGGTCAATGTTTTGGGGATGGCAAGCATCACCAACCACTTCCTCCCTCTCTTGCGCATGTCCGGGGGTCGTATCATCAACACATCTAGTGTCTTAGGGAGGGTTGCTGCAGGCCCCAGCGCATACGTCGTCAGCAAGTACTGCGTTGAAGGATACTCCGATTTGCTAAGGTGGGTTAACTGGGTTCACGTCTACGATTTTTCGCTGTGACCGTGTTTTCTTGCATGCATATCAGGACGTCGTTACGCATGCACTCCATGAACCGGATATAGAATAGATATATCCTGTACGAAGCATCATCCATTAATGAGACACCAGACCATACATGGTGGTGTCAAAGAACGAACCCTAGTCACGACTAAAAATACCATGAATGATTCCGAGCCACACTAACTTCTGCTCAGAAATACTGCATATCACGTGTTTGTGTATTTCACAGAAAATGAGCAATCTAGCAAGCCGCATTCGGATAAAAGATCCCACAAGCAGCATATTTATCCTTACATGAATTATCTCCGTCGTATGTTAAATTCCTATAAGAAAAAAATACCAGAACCCGGTTTCGTCTAAGCATGAACACACACAAGCAAAACCCGTGAAGGACCGGGTTAGAATTGATCCTCAGTAACCCATGCTTGTGAGATATGTCGTTATCCCTATCAAACGTTGAGTGGCATGTGCGTACAAAACTGAAACGTTTCTCTCTACAGACGAGAATTGTGGCATCAGGGAGTGTCTGTCCACATCCTAGAACCAGGAGCCTTTAAAACAAACATAACAAACCCTGGCGTGCTCGCACCATCCATGGAGAAAGCGTACCGGAAGTTGGACCCGGAAGTGCAGCAGTATTATGGGAAGAAGTACTGTTGTGGATGTAAGTGTTTCATTCTGTTCATTCATATAGGAAGAGCTGAACTGTTCACAGAATGATATGTATGCAGTTCACGTTTCGTGATTCAAGTACACCTTTCAAATCTGGTTTCATGAATATGCTGGTTACTTCGGAGAGATTAATATTAGCTTTTATCTTACAACGAAAGTAAAATTAATTCGGTTTCAAACAAGTCATGAAATAAACTAGATGTTGCATGTACGAGCGGAGTAATCACTTAGCAAACAAATCGCACCATTTTAGCATGTGCTTAGCATATTTTGTCTATCATCGAGATCGCAGGGACGAATTAATGCTTAACGTTGTTAAGGCATTGATTAGGAACAATAAAAAGATCAAAGAGCATTTATAAAACACTCTAAAGCAATTAAATTACGACATAGACGTGGGTGACTATGATTAAAAATGAAAGAAACTTATCAATGAATTACAGTCCCGAAAGTGTGAGTGAGTGCGTGGGTTTAGTTTTACACCACACACAGAATATTCCAGCTATACGGCGGGGTCTGTAAATAATTGAGCCTGGACCAGACAATCAAGTGATCAACATCATGAGCATCGATCTGCGCAATTGAGATACGATGACATGTGTCAACCAAGTCAGCGAGTCTGACCACTCGATCCCGTTAGTCGCCTCTTACGACAAGCATGGGCTACTGAAGATCAATTCTAACCGGGACCTTCACGGGTCAATCCTGAAAGTAGTCTGATACAATCTAACCTTAGGTCACCACCACGGAGTGGCCAATCACTGGCCTGGAATCCGTTTCCTATGTTTGTGTCTATAATGATGAAATGCCTACTCTTGGATTATTTATTTGACAGTGGTGTCGCAGTTGTGTGCGGACCTAGAGTTTCAGCGAATGGTTTCAGCTCAGAAACGTTTTGATAACCTTTGAAATTTTGGTGGTCAAATCTCATTAAAACTGCCAATTGTCTTTTGCCCGAAAAGTATAAAATTAATAAAAAATAGTAAAATTATAGTGAATGACTGAGTGAGGTTTAATGCTGATTTTAGTAATATGCCAGCAATATCTTAGCGGGCAACGGTATCATGACTGCCCAGTATACATGTATATACTTCTAAAATATAATGTGGGCTTTAACATTTTTAGAGATGTATCTCTCAGTAGAACGGAGACTTAATACACTTAGATATTGAAGATGGCTAAACCCTCACTCAGTCACTCAGTACCTCACAAACTCTGTGTTTTGTGTCCCCAGTGGAGACGTTGATGGGGCTTCTCAGTTGGGAAGCTGACGGGAACCTGGATAAGGTGGTCGACGCCTACACTCACGCCATCACCGCCGTCTACCCCAAAACCAGATACGTGGTCGGCGTTGACGCTAATATAATCTTCAGGCTCTTGTGGCATGTACCCGACATCATCACTGACTTACTGATGGGCCTGACTTACCCAAGGCCTCACGGCCAACGCTGACAAGCATGGTGGATAGTCTCACGCTTCGTGTCACGTCAGTAGCAGATAGGACTTCGCCTTTGGATGAATATCAAAATTAGAACAATGCTTTTGGGTCCATGTTCATTTCAGAGTTCAGTTTGTTTTATCTGCTGTTTATCACTGCACTTGATGACGGTCTGTAAATAATCGAGGGCGGCAGTCGAGTGATTGACATCATGAGCATCGATCTAAGCAGTTTTTGAAACGATGATATCCATCAACCAAGCTTCGAGTTTTTGAGTTGGCTTTTACGTTGTTGTTATTGTTGTTGTTTTTGATGATGATGTTCTTCTTCTTCTTCTTCTTCTCCTTCTTCTTCTTCGCCGCACTCAGCAATATTCCAGCTATATGGCGGCGATCAGTAAATAATCGAATCTGAACCAGACAATCCAGTGATCAACATCGTGAGCATCGATCTACGAAATTGGGATACGATGACACGTGTCAACCAAGTCAGCGAGCCTGGCCACCCGATCCCGTTAGTCTCCTCTTACGACAAGCATGGGTTACTGAAGACCAGTTCTAACCCCGGATCTTCACAGGTTATGGTGAAGTGAGATAAACTGGGTTTAATGTTGCATTCAAAGATTATTGCACTTAAGCAGTGGTGTGTGTTTGATTAAAAGCTGAACCGTGATTCAGTCACGTAAATCAGTTTTCAAACACTGACTGCTACCGTTGTTTTGTATTCAGAAACACATGTACTGTTTTCCGCGACATATGATCTCGTTCAAGGTCCACAAGGGGCATAACTCTCAGGTCATTGAGATTATACATGTTTTTTTGTATGTGTTGTAAACATTTAGTAATTATTAAAGATTCATGATTAGAATCGACCTCTGAGTTTTAATATTATTTAAACATATCATTCATTCACAGTTAGTGCCAAAGGAACCAATTTAAGGTAGACTTACATCCATTACATAACGAAGCGCACGCACGCACGCACGCACGCACGCACGCACGCCTACGTACAGATGTGGTGACGGTATTGTCCAGTCTAAAATGTCATGATTTGCAGAGTTTCGTCCCTTGCCTGCTCCAGATGCACTTCAATTACACGAAGTCTCTGAGGTAAAACATAATAGTTTAAATGATAATTTCTAAAAAACCACAAATAAAATTAACACATAGTCCCTCTAACTGACAGGTGTTCTGTCCAATTATCAATACTTGCCTCTTCAAAGGATAGAATAAGCGATCTTTATGTTCCGAGGGGCGATAACTCTCCTTTTGAAATGATGCAACGACGGTCCAACTGCTCGCTTCCTGTCTGGTTCGCGACTCAATGTGCGCTGCGACAACTTTCGAATGTAAAGACAGATCTTTCATTGACAAACGGTCGTTTACAACGAAATACCTTTAACTGACACATGTTTTGCTGTGGTTGTTAGTTTAGAACAGCATCGTTCGTTTAATCATCAAGTGCAATATGAATTGACACGATTGGAGATGACGGGGGAAACGCCATGAAAAATCGTTATATTGTCACTACACTTCCTACGTCGGACCAAGACGCAGTTTAAAGGTCACAGGCAACCAAAAAATCAAACATAATAAAAACACAATTATCACTTCTTCATGACATATAATATGCATTGCTGATTATGAAAAAACAAATAAACAAAATTATAAGCGAATAATCGCAAATCAAAAGTGCAATATTTTGTACTTGGGTTTACCTCACTCGAAACGAAGCAGCCGGGATACCGAACCCAGTCAGAGCGGGTGGGTGTGCACTCAAGTGTAACGGCTGGTTCAATAGCAGATGACGCCTTCATGGCTCATTGTGTGTGTATATATAGAGATGTTGGGTTTTGTAAATACATGCTCATTTTTTGTGTATAACATTTTGCAATCAACAGACATCATAACATGTCAAGTATCACACCTGCCTGTCTGTGTAATTACATAATGTGACAGAGACCGAACTCGGGCCATAAATCAATGCGTTTTGTTTATGGTGTATAGCCTGATTGGTGTTAAGTTCAAATTGCATGTGGTCAGTGATAGCAGCTGTGTATTGAATATTGTCATTAGCAGACAGGCAGGCAGACACACAGGTGTAAAAAAAACAAGACATTGAGTTTTGTCTGTGACAATGACATATCTATATCACAGTTAGAAATTCTGTCAACGCTAAATAATGACATTGCTTTTAAGTATCGAACTGAGAAAGTGTCTCGGTAAGAAGAACGTGTGGTGAAATAGACAAATGAAATTATATAAACAGTTAATTTACTGTCATAACATATAAAAAGCTTGCGCCTGTGAGATATCAACAAAACATTAGAAAAATAGCTCACACCAAAGCCTTCACCGAGTATTCACCCGACAACCCGCTTCCAAGCTGCGCGAACCTATTTCACTGCGCACATGCTATGAGCGCAGCCCAGCTGTTGAAACCCGTTTTCCCCAGAAAAGTCTGGGGAAAGTTAGTGAAACGTTTCAACTCCGATTTCGCGCGTTTTTTTGCATCGCGTTATTTTTCAACTTTATAAGTTGAATTTGCATTTTTGACGATTTGTTTCGGTATGTCCATACCGAAAGGTATCAGAATCTGCAAAGTTGTGTTTTACGTTGCATGTGACCTTTAAGTCTCGGGTAATACAGCATCGATGAAATAATGAAAACTCACTTAATATATCATCTCTTGTTATTCCTTAACTGTTGCTGTTGCGGCATTCAAATCTAGCAAATAGTTCTCACACTACCACTGACCCCAATGTAATAAAATAGGATATGCGCCTACATCTGCAGCCAACGGGCATCCTCTGACAGATGTTTATCGACAATTTATAATTATTATACATCCGTGATTTTACTGATAATTGAAAAAATACACTGCAGAAGTTAACAGTTGGTTACAGATATAAATGTTACGTTTTGATAAGCAGTTTCTCACACATCGATTGCATTATGTTTTTTAAATGTTGATATTATATTTTCAAAGTATACTTAATGTATCGTACATTTATCACCCAAACAGTCAGTCGGTTGCAGCAGAGATAACAGTCACCGTAGACTGAAATAAAAGATTTACCCGTAATATTCTATCCCTTATTAAATGTGTCCATCAGTCAGTGCTATACAGTCAACTCTCGTTAATCCGACACTTGTGGTTTCTGAGAAATATGTCGGATTAACGAAAATGTCGGATTAATGAAAATGTCGGAAAATATCAGAAATTGTAGATCTGGTTATCGTCTTCGTTTGTTTTTACCAGTCGTCGCTATGGAACTCTCAGCAGCCATTATGACCCGGATGTTGAATGAGTCACTGTTTACATACAACTAGTTCCACACTAACATATGGATGTCTGGTATGTCTAACATATGGAGTTTCCTGTAAATATCGGACGTCTTCAGTAGCTTAGCAGGTGGTGTACTCGTGACAGACATCTTGTCGTGATGAATGCTCAGGTCGGTTGTAAACATTTTATACAGCTCGCTCTTTTGTTATTTCTTGATTAAATCGCCTCAATTAATTATCTTGTGTTTCTAATTAACAAGTGTGATGTTCACCGACGTGGGTGTTAAGCAGCCAGTAAGGTTGCTAGATTGGTGTGTCGGAGTTGGAATGCGAGAATGTCGGATTAACGAGAGTAATTATCACTTAAATGGTTCCCTAATTTTTTGGTCGGATTAACGTGATTGTCGGATTAATGAGTGTCGGATTAACGAGAGCTGACTGTATATGTTAATTTATTGATCCATTTCCAAAGTCTGATACAATTTGTGGGACCGAAATAGTGCTGAAGATGCGTGCCATGGGGCGTTAAATATTGAAATGGCACAGATGAAATATTTTCAATGTTTGTCTGGTATTTTGAATAGTTTAACAAAATTTGAACATATACTACCCATCAAAAGTTTAGACTCACTTAAAGCACTCACTGTATATTATGTATATATATGCGGTTACATCGACGATTGATTTCTCCACTAACTTTGGGGAACCAACTACAAACATTATGCAGATGAATTGCACGAGGATCATGCATCAAATTGCTGAAAAGCATGTGCAAATATCGTGCATGTGAACAGCTGCGTTTTGGTGTAAAGTTTTTTTAAGAATTCGCCAATTTTCACTGAGTTTCATCATTTATTGAACTCATGACAATAATCTTTTCAACGTTACGAATTTGTTTTACAATACATCAGTTCATGTGTAAACAGTACCTTTAAACAGTATGGAATATTTTGCAAAATCTAGTTCAGAACAGTTGACTGAAGTAAGTGGCAACATTTACTCTAGTGAGTCTAAACTTTTGATGGGTAGTATATGAAATGTGATGTCTGTTTCAGAATTTTTTACACTAAAGAAATGCCTATCTTGCTTTATGGTGCCGAAGTATGGGGTCTGGATTGTGATTCTAATTCATCTCTTGATTCTAATATTCATCTTAGTCTGTAATATTTATTTAATCTGTGTTAAACTATGTACTCCCAACCACGTTGTACGTATTCTGGAGATACCCTATGTGTATCTTTGCGTACAAACGCTGTCTTATGTATTGGTACAAACTGTTAAATATGCCTTTAACACGTTTTCCTAAGAAATGTTATAATTTACTATTGTTAGATGCTTTAAATGGTAAACTTTACTCGGTATCAAGATTGAAAACTTATTGCATACAATGGGTTTTGGATACGTATAGGAAAATCAATTTATTCCTAATATAAACCTCCAAATGTCTGAATTCACATCAAGAGCCCTAAACATATATTTACAGGAATGACATTCCTGGCTGTCTAATGGCTCAAAAACGTATTTCTATTGTCAATTTAAATGTATTTTTGGTGTTGAACCATATCTTCATTGTATAAATATCCAGAAATTTCGTATTGCTTTGGCGAAGTTCAGGTGTAGTTCACACCAACTGAATATAGAAACTGGTAGGTACATGAATAAGCCTAAAAGCTTAAAATTGTGTGAAATGTGTTCCTGTAACTATGTAGAACATGGGTACCGTGTGGAGCGCAATAGTGCAGTGGTAAGGCGTCTGCCTATCACGCTGAAGGCCCGGGTTCGATCCCCGATGAAGGCACCTAGGTTCGGGTCCCGAGGTGGTACATTTGCGTAGTATCCTTGGACAAGATACTTATATCCACATTGTCTCAGTTCACCCAGCTGTAAAATGGGTACCCGTGAGGATGTTCTGGCAATGTGACTATTTAGTTCATTGCGCCTAACAGGCAGCATGGTTGTATGCTCCCTAGGAAGTTGAAAAAGTATCGGAAAGTATGATAGTGTATTATGATCGGGGACAGTAATGTACATAGCGCCGTGAGCAGGCAATGTGCCTGGATGTGAGCGCCATATAAGCGGACTATTAAAAAGTATCGGAAAGTATGATAGTGTATTATGATCGGGGATAGTAATGTACATAGCGCCGTGAGCAGGCAACGTGCCTGGATGTGAGCGCCATATAAGCGGACTATTACTATTACTATTTCTCATTGATATGCACTGTTCATGATGATCTACGTAAACGTTAACTAATCTTGGAGTCATGATAGTGTTCAGGATATCGAGCACTTAAGTTTACAGGTTACCCTAACACTTGGTCTCTGAGTTGAGTTGGGCTTTAAGTCACATCGGCATTATTCCAGCCATATAGTGACGAGAACAAGTCTGCATTAATATACATTGTACAGAGTCAAAATGAGTTTTATTTCAAAAACATTATTCATTTCATTGTCATTTAAAAACAGAAAAAGTCATATCACTAAAGTTAAAGGCAGGCAATTTGTTAGTCACATTACACAGTTACAATTTATGATACAGATCAACTTCCCTCAGTTGTTCACTATCAGATGAGCGCTCATGCGGGAGAACAGATCTTTCAGATTTGCTTCATAATGTGAGTCCCTTGCAGACGATAAGTCCGCACAGTCAAGCAGAATATGTTTGATGGTGAAAACCTCACCGCAGGAGACACACACGGGCGGTCCATCCCCATCCGTTTTCAGTCTCTGAATATATATAATTTTGATGGTAAGAAATAACCCCATATATATTGAAAAGGAGCCCCAGTGAGATGGCAGAATCAGAACCTGGGGAATCTAGACTTGCTTTATTTAGGGCTTTAGCACTGCAGATGGGGCTTGGCAGTAGTGAAAATAATGTGGTTCAGGGACTGTGAGACAGACGACCACTACCCTTCCAATCCACTGGATCAAATGTAATTTTTCGATTTATTATCATAATCTATTTATACTCTATTATTGAAAAAATAATAAATATAAAATACTATTACACTGCGATGCTCATTACAGCAGCTAGGTTAATCAGTTTCACGCAACAACAAATACAACCATTTGCTGACTTGCATGCATTGGGAACAAACCACCCTCCGTTCTAATTACCCCCGTAACGCGAACAGTCCAGCAAATTGACATATACAGGTATCCCAGCTATGTTTACCTTGTATTTTCACCAGTAGCTGTTGATGGATGACTTTAGCGCCGTGAACATGATACAACTGCATGCCATGCTTGTTAGTTAGAAATTACTCGCCGTGTATGTCTGACGATGATCCTCGTGCAATCATTGCTTTCTGGCTGACACCGACCCCCGACGCTCAATGGACACCCCTCCCCCTTCCTCTTTCGGTAATGTCATTGGGTATGTTCTTTTTCTAATTACCTCAAACTTACTTTTGTTTTGGATGTGTATGAACTGCAAACGAAGGTGGTCGCACTCAACCACTTCTCGTACAACATATTTCGAATGAGATGCATACATTTAAATTAAATATACATAAATTTTAGTTTTAAAATTATACCTTTAAAATACATTTATCAAGTTTCATTGAGTACATCCGGGTGTAAAATGGGTGCAATATTAAACCGAAACAAACAACACTAGACACAATAAACCAACTAAAGTGAAGTCGATTTTTTATTCCTTTAATGCGTTTGTAAATAAGACACCAGTGTGGTGCTTTCACCTCGCAACAGTTGCCTCCCTTCCCCAATACGGAAGCGTTATGTTGTATAAGTGTTGTATGTTCTAGGTTAAAAGTTACAGGTGGGATAGAATGAAGTTAGTCGGCGACAGTGCGGTAGTCCGCTGATAAGAGTGGTGGAGATAAAGTCCTATCTAGACCATGTATTTAGTTACGGCTACAGCTTGACTGAGATAAATTCTCGCAACCATGGTCCGAGTTATTAATTTCAAGAGAATTATTATAACCGGGCTATGTGTTTATATTCTTCTTACCGTCTATTTTTTACTGTTCATCGTTCCAATGGACCAGGCAGATGGTCAGTATAAAGAAACCGGACATTCTTGGCACCACGGTGGTAAAAGAATTGACGTTGCAGAAAAACCCGGCGACGTGGTCAGTGAAGATAACAGTGTTAATTCAAGGTTGAAACGTCTCCATGCTGAGAGGACGACAAAGCTTGTGAAACCAAAAATTCCCGGAACCCCGAGGCCAACCAGACTGGGAACCATCAGGCGAAGGACAGATGACTTGTTTCAGGAGTTTGTGAAGCCAAGTAAGCAGCATTTAAATTTCACTGAAATTGCCCCACAAGTTTTTGCTTTTTCAGCGTTCTTTGATGACAGATACGGCACGTCATATGTCCGTGTCGTAGCGATAGCCCCGAGCGGTCGGGCGAAGAGAAATACCGGCTTATATTGTGTGTTCAACAACAATGATACGACGGAGATGGTGTATTACGAAACGTGTGAAAACCATCTTCAGGCCAACGCTTACTACATGTTATCGTGCGCAGTGCCTGAATCGGTAGCGATGAAATTCGACGGAATCAACCCTCTAGCAATTGCCCCGTCAAAAAATGCTAGTCCTAGTCGTTATAAGCTTATAAGTGTTATTAATAACCGAGGAAGATTTGGAAGTGACAATGAGAGACAAATGGGACGTTTTGCCGTATGTATTCCTCCGCTTTTTGGAAAGATTAACCCTCTACGTCTCGTGGAGTTTATTGAACTGTCACGTCTTCTAGGGAGTAATCATTTTACGTTTTATACATATTTTGTATCGGAGGACGTGATGCGGGTATTGAAATATTACGAGAGACAGGGTGTTGTGACTGTCATGCCGTGGTATATCCCCGTCAAGAAGAGGATATGGTACAAGGGTCAATCTGCAGCCGTGGGAGACTGTCTTCTTAGAAACATGCATGTCAATCACCTTGTTGCATTCAACGACATCGATGAATTCATCGTTCCTCGTTCTAACAAGACATGGAGTTCCTTTCTGGAGTATCTGCATCAGCAACAATCGTCCAAAGGCGTTAAAACGGGGAATATTGCTGTTTACAGGTTTAAAAGTGCATTCTTTGAAGTCTCAACACACGCGAAGGCCCAAAATGTTTCCATGGAACAACAACGATTTCAACTGAACATGGATAAGTTTGTTTCACTAAGCCGGACAAGGAGGACTAAAAGATTTAGCAGAATACGCACAAAGATGCTGGCATACCCCACACGGGTATTTGAGTTGGGTATCCACCATCTCAGTAAGCAGATCAAAGAGGAATATTTCTGCCTCGAAGTGCAACCGGATGTAGCCAGTTTACACCACTACCGGATGTGTGACCGCGTGTATGATATGAGTTGTGATGAATATGTAGAGGACAGAACGGCTTTGAATTTCAAATATTCTTTAGTCAACAACACTGTACGTGTTTTAAAACAGTTGAAAAGTACAGAGGATTTTGTATAATGATTATTTATAAATTAAATAAAGGTGAGTGTTAGGAACTATATGTGCAATGACCTACACGTACTGTGGGTGACTGGCAAAACTTTAGCGCAAGCTCGAAAATGTCTGACTGCAGAAGGAATGGGATTGGTGTAAGCGACTGTGATGTTTACCCGATGTGTATTTGGTGTTTACTTGGTGTTAACGTGTACACAATGTATTTAGTTAGTTACGTGTTTCACTGTGGACTCATTTGCAAACGCCCTTCTGTGGGGAAATTATCCAGCGTTATTTAATCTGAAGACGAGGCTTGGTTTATTGCATCTGGCGGACGTGGAAACGTGGTAGCAAGTTTGATTCAAGTAATTACAACACCACATTGTTACCTCATGCCTAGACAATTGTCTCTGTACACCTGCAACGCCAAGAGCATGTCTTTACAAGTACAACGCCTAGACTGTCTGTAAAAGTACAATGTCTAGACTATTTCTGTACAAGTACAACGCCTAGCGCATGTCTGTACAAGTACAATGTCTAGAATATGTCTGTACAAGTACAACGCCTAGCGTATGTCTGTACAAGTACAATGTCTAGAATATGTATGTACAAGTACAACGCCTAGAGTATGTCTGTTCAACTACAACGCCAAAACTATGTCTGTACAAGTACAATGTCTAGAGTATGTCTGTACAAGTATAAAGCCTAGACTATGTCTGTACAAGTACAATGTCTAGACTGTGTCTGTACAACTGCAATGTCTAGACTATTTCTGTACAAGTACAACGCCTAGCGTATGTCTGTACAAGTACAATGTCTAGAATATGTCTGTACAAGTACAACGCCTAGCGTATGTCTGTACAAGTACAATGTCTAGAATATGTCTGTACAAGTACAACGCCTAGAGTATGTCTGTTCAAGTACAACGCCAAAACTATGTCTGTACAAGTACAATGTCTAGAGTATGTCTGTACAAGTATAAAGCCTAGACTATGTCTGTACAAGTACAATGTCTAGACTGTGTCTGTACAACTACAATGTCTAGACTATTTCTGTAAAAGTACAACGCCTAGAGCATGTCTGAAAAGTACAATGCCTAGAGTATGTCTGTACAAGTAGAACCCCTAGAGCATGTCTGTAAATGTACAATGTCTAGAGTATGTCTGTAAAAGTACAACGCCTAGACTATGTCTGTAAAAGTACAACACCTAGAGTATGTCTGTACAAGTACAACGCCTAGAGTATGTCTGCACAAGTACAATGTCTAGACTATGTCTGTCTAAATACAACGCCTAAAGTATGCCTGTACAAGTACAACGCCTAGACTATGTACAAGTACAACGCCTAGACTATGTCTGTACAAGTACAATGTCTAGAGTGTGTCTGTACAAGTACAACGCCTACAGTATATCTGTAGGTCGCCGAGGGTATGTCTGTAAAAGTAGAACGCCTGGAGTATGTCTGTACTAATACAGCGCCTAGACTATGTCTCTACAACTACAATGTCTAGACTATTTCTGTACAAGTACAACGCCTAGAGTATGTCTGTACAAGTACAATATCTAGACTATGTCTGTACAAGTACAACGCCTAGACTATGTCTGTAAAAGTACAACGCCAAGACTATGTCTGTAAAAGTACAATGTCTAGGCTAAGTCTGTACAAGTACAATGTCTAGACAGTGTATTCTACAGTCTCTCAAAACTACCTTCTTATATTCTATGATAGATTAAGCTCTGAATGATCCTTAATTTGGTTGCATTACTTCATACTAAAACTGTATAGAGGCTACCTATGGGGCTGCCACGGTGTCTGTATCGCTGTATACAAGGTTTCGGTACGATTTCTGAAGTATTCCTAGTCTTAGTCCGTGTTTAATTCATTCCACGTTTTTTGTCAACTGACGTACAAGGGTGCTTATGGTTTCATATAGGTGATGTTTTAGCAACAGGTACACAAAAGCACCCAGTGTATACTTTTTGTATGTCAGTTTCCTTTTAGAGCTTCTCGGCCACATCATGATTCCACGGTTTTACAACCCTGTACAATGGCAGGAGTACTTAATGCCAATTAACAAATAGTATTATTTAATTACTTTTAACATTGGCACGATATCTCTATCGAGTCTGTCCACGTGGTACTGTACAGTGAGTGAGTGTGGTGTTACGCTGCTTTTCGCAATATTCCAGCAATATGACGGGACACACACTGGGCTTCACACACTGCACCCATTTTGGGAATCGAACCCAGGCCTTTGGCGTGAAGAGAGAACGCTTTAACCTCTGGCTACCCCACCGTTCCTGGTATATTACAGGGATGTGGAAGTATGATTCTAGACAAAAGCTCTAGAAATATCGGGTAAATGCTTTCATTTAAGTAATTAGATGTGTTAGTGAGTCCCCGTTGTTGTGTGTGGATTTATTTAGTTTAGAAACTTACTGAGGTGTAACAGGGAGCTTCACTGCTATTTTATATCCTTTTGGGAATTTTGTTTTGAGAATGAATTCTGTGATTTTATTTGTCTTTGTCTAGATTTTAATGTCCTTGGATCAAGTAAGTTAGTGAGTGAGGGAGTATGGTTTTACGCAACGTCTTGCAATATTCCAACAATATCCAGCAATATCACGGCGGAAACCCCTGAAATAGGGTTTTTTACACATTGTAACCATGTGGAGAATCGAACCTGGGTCTTTGGCGTGACCAGCGACGCTTGAACCACTGGGCTACCCAATACTGAAAGTAGTTCTGACATGGCGTGTTATTTCAGTCCACTCTCCTACCAAAAAGTTCCATGCGGCAAGCCAGCATAGTATCTCTGCCACAGGCCAGAAAAATGTGACGATTCGTCACATCTTGCAATGTCCATTCAATATAATGTACAGATTTCTTTCACTCTTTTATTTTTGACGAGTCTACACATCTAACTAAACATCTTTAATAGAATGGTTTAGTTTCACTGAGAAAATATCCAAAAACATGTAACACTATTTCGATTTGCGTAGCGATACTTTGTTTACATAGGTTGTACGGCTCCACGTGCTGTCATCGAAGCCGACGGAGAGCAAACGATGCAGCCAGTTTGATATCTAAATATGTACTGTCATAGACCTAACTGTCGCAGTTGTGGAAGAATATATATGTAACAATGTAAAACATTATGAAGAGAGCGCCGAAAAGCTTTCGTGAGTCCAGTCTCTTCTTATTATGAATATGCACGTTTGATTACAAACAAGAGAAAAGTCCGGTCACGTGATATGCAAATTAGCCTGTGGCAGTGATGTTATGTTAAGTCATCGCTGTGCCGGAGTGTGATTTCAGTCGTGTAAACTGTTATCGTCTAGTTCGATTATTTCTAGTTTCGATTATTGCTGGATCTTGACCAATGATTACACACTTTAGAAAGTGGTAAAATGTTACATATATTGTATTTGGGATTACACTTTCTCAGTTAAGTACAGATTCTGTTTTTTTAAGGAGGTTGAGTCCCATCCGGGAATCGAACCCACACTCTCAGAGTCAGGCACCAGTACACAAGGTCAGAGATCTGACCCTCTCAGCCACTATGGTTCCACAAAAATGAGTGTGTGAGTGAGTGAGTAAGTTTAGTTTTACGCCGCACTCAGCAATAGTCCGTAAATAATGGAGTATTGACAAGACAATCCAATGATCAACAGCATGAGCATCGTTCTACGCAATTGGGATACCATGACATGTGTCAACCAAGTCAGCGAGCCGATCCCGTTAGTCGCCTCTTACTACAAGCATGGGTTACCGAAGGCCAAAATTCTAACCCGGACCTTCACGGGTACCAATCCCAAATACTACTAGGATTTGAACTATACTGGAAAAGTGTAATCTCAAATATGACACATTAATTTTACTTTTCCGTTTAATTTATGTAACCTGCAAGCCAAAAGAGGGGTGTCTTATAAATTAGGTTTGACCGAACAAATTACGAAAAGAAAACGTTACTGGGCTGAAAACAACTTACCTGCTTAATATAGTTCTGAGACTCTACAATGATACCCGCATTAATATATCAGCGACGATTAACCATATCTTGTTTGTTTCATATTTTGTCACCGTCAAAAATGTTTGTATACTTTCTTTGCCCCAATGTATAGTTTAACATGTGTCATTTACGGGTGGGTGAATCTTGCTTGACGCCACATCCTGAACTACAGCAGCGTCATGTTATACTTTGATCAGACGGTGGTCAACGACATGGCCTGCACTCTTCCGTGCTTCTCACGTTACAACCTGTATGGGTATTTAGACCCTTTGAAGTGGAACCTAATTAAAGGTTGTAACTTAGGCGTGAGCTCTCAAGTCTCCACCCCGTCCTGCAACACATGTGTAGAAATTTGCGGCACGACATGATCGCCGTCTATATGTCTGATGGGAAGGTCGATTTAGGATGTTAAATAATGGTACTTATTGTTTCCCTGCCTCGCGCTCGACGCTCAGATATGACAAGAGCCGGTCAGCTCGGCGTCAGTGTTAGCCATTGGTGTGAAGGCAATGCTGGTTTCCGGTCTTATACGATATAATACTGTTGTTGCAGTTTTTGTATAGTACTGCTGTAATCAGTGTGTGAAATAGTTTCCAAATTTTGCTAGCCAGTCGGACTAGCTATGCCTGAAAGTTACTAGCCCACAAAATAATTCACTAGCCGAAAATTGGAATGTGGTCACGGGTTTCATCATTAAGCTGCTAATATGATGAACATTTTCATCAGGCCATAATCTTGCATGATTTAAGAGTGTATTATAACTGAACAAGTCGGAGAGAGTGATATATTTACAAAATGACCCCAAGAAAATTCACCAGCCAGTCTGGCCAGTGACTGTGGAGATTTACTGGCCCGACTGGATTTTTTACTAGCCACGGGCTAGCGGGCCAGTGGCTATTTCGCACACTGGTTGTAACTGTGCTTTTATTATAATGCTGTTCAAGTACTAATGTAGTATTGCTGTTGTGAGGATCATATAGTTCATATAGAGCGGTTTCAGAGTTTATATAGTCCCTCTGCTGGAGTATGTATTATGCCTTTTCAGTGTTTATATAGTATTTGTTTTTTGCAAAGCAGGAATGAGTGACGGTTAAATAGACACAACCAACTCTAACAACAGTTAATGTTCAACTGCATAATAAACAAACACGGTATACTTTCTTTTGCAGCTCAGTTTATCTGTCAAAATTATTGATGTGTGATATGGTTTAACTAGAATATTATAGAATAATAATGTTACTATCTGTAAACGTACGTGTTGTTCTTGTGCAATGTGTACACTAGTGTCGATATTGCAGTGTGTAGATTGAAAACTACAAACCAGACACAAGTGAAATTAATCGTTACACGTCGCCCATTCGTAGTTAATATGTGTCTTTCAGCATCCTATGTCAGTATGTTTAGGGTGAGGCATGAATGTTTCACTTTGTCAAATCCGTTGGTTAATGTGGGACAAAAATCGGTAAATAGATTAAACGCATGTTTCCTTTAATATCCGTGTTTTTTCATAAGTTTGCACATGATAAATGAGCACCGCATGCCCTGCCATGATCGCTATGTACCACCCCGGTATCAAAAGACCCTTTATCAGCTGATAACGCTGATCAACATGTCGCTAACTCTGGTGGTGGCCAAATCTCCTGCGACTCATATTCCGAAGTACAAACTCAGGGTCCCCTTTCACAAAGCGGTCTTAGCGTTAAGACTGACTTTAAAAGTCTACGTTAGAGTATGGGAGTTACGATCACTTCGTGCAACTGGACCCAAAGATGAGCATTTAACGTAACATTGAAGTCCTATGGACGTAAATCTATATCTCAGTCTGTCCCTTAAATAATTACAACAGTTTTGTCTGTGCACTGACTGACTGAGTTTGGTTTTACGCCGCTTTTAGCAATATTCCAGCAACATCATGGCGGGGGACACCAGAAATGGGCTTCACACATTGTACCCATGTGGGGATTCGAACCCGGGTCTTCGGCGTGACGAGCCAACGCTTTAACCACTAGACTACCCCACTGCCCCGTCTGTGCACTGATATTAATAAACAATGATAATGATAATAATAATGATAATGATACACTTATAATGCGCAGCAATCACAGGCTGTTGTGCTCTGTGCGCTAAATCATGCATGTGTTACTTGAATTTTTGTTTATGCAGCAGAACCTAGTTCTGGACACGAGTAATTCAGATAGGTCTCTGATACTCGATGGCGGACTTTGAGCAATACTACAGATGTATGGCGGTTGTCTGCACAGTGCATCCTCACCAATACAACAGTGCAACATATACTGCAGCCACACGACGTGGTCCACGGTGTAATTATCAGCAAATATACAGCTGTATAATGGTGGTCAACACAGTGTAACGTGAGCAATATTACAGCTATATAACGGTGGTCCACACAGTGTAACGTCAGCAATATTACAGCTATATAACGGTGGTCCACACAGTGTAATGTCAGCAATACTACAGCTATATAACGGTGGTCCACACAGTGCAACGTCAGCAATACTACAGCTATATAACGGTGGTCCACACAGTGCAACGTCAGCAATATTACACCTATATAACGGTGTTAACGTCAGCCAGCTATATAACGGTGGTCCGGCAGTGTAACGTCAGCAATATTACAGCTATATAACGGTGGTCCACACAGTGTAACGTCAGCAATATTACAGCTATATAACGGTGGTCCACACAGTGTAACGTCAGCAATACTACAGCTATATAACGGTGGTCCACACAGTGTAACGTCAGCAATATTACAGCTATATAACGGTGGTCCACACAGTGTAACGTCAGCAATATTACAGCTATATAACGGTGGTCCACACAGTGTAACGTCAGCAATACTACAGCTATATAACGGTGGTCCACACAGTGTAACGTCAGCAATATTACAGCTATATAACGGTGGTCCACACAGTGTAACGTCAGCAATATTACAGCTATATAACGGTGGTCCACACAGTGTAACGTCAGCAATATTACAGCTATATAACGGTGGTCCACACAGTGTAACGTCAGCAATATTACAGCTATATAACGGTGGTCCACACAGTGTAACGTCAGCAATATTACAGCTATATAACGGTGTTCCACACAGTGCAACGTCAGCAATATTACAGCTATATAACGGTGGTCCACACAGTGTAACGTCAGCAATATTACAGCTATATAACGGTGGTCCCACACAGTGTAACGTCAGCAATACTACAGCTATATAACGGTGGTCACACAGTGTAACGTCAGCAATACTACAGCTATATAACGGTGTTCCACACAGTGTAACGTCAGCAATACTACAGCTATATAACGGTGGTCCACACAGTGTAACGTCAGCTATATTACAGCTATATAACGGTGGTCCACACAGTGTAACGTCAGCAATATTACAGCTATATAACGGTGGTCCACACAGTGTAACGTCAGCAATATTACAGCTATATAACGGTGGTCCACACAGTGTAACGTCAGCAATACTACACCTATATAACGG